CAACATAAAGCCACTCGCGCACGAAACGGAAAATCTCTTATTCGATCGTGGGAAAAGTTGAAACGTCATCTCCGCAAAATATTTTTACCCCACAATTATGATCGGATTACATACACACGTTTTCAAAATCTGAAGCAAGGGTCACGTTCTGTGGATGATTACGCGGAAGAATTTTATTTGCTTCTCACCCGTAACGACATTCACAACAGTGAGGTCTAAATTGTGTCACGCTTCATTGGCGGACTCCGACCTCAACTCCAGAACTCACTCGCACAGTTTGATCCGGTTACGGTGGCTGAAGCTCACAGGCGTGCTGTTTCTTTTGAACAACAACTTCGCTCTTCTCCGTGGACACCATCAGCAACAAAAGCTCGTGTTAACGAGCATGCACCAAGTTCGAGTGTCGCACAGACGCGTACTGCCAATGATCCCCCAAACATCACCGATCGTTCAAGCACAGAAATTGATGACACGAATCTCCGACGTTCATCACGACCTAACGCCTTGCGCTGCTTTGCGTGCGGAGAACAAAGGCATCGACAAACGGCTTGTCCAAAGCAGACGCGTCGTGGTCTTGTCCTGGATGACGTTGACGTTGATAAGACGGCCGTGTATGACTCCCATGACGATGGCGACGAGGAGAATGAAGGTTATTTGGCATTGACACATGGTGATACAGACTCGTTGCTTGTGCTTCGACGGACATGTCTTGTTCCATAAAGTAGAGGACATGTGTGGTTGCGCACAAACATTTTTCACTCAACATGCACCATTCGTGATAAGGTGTGTACATTCATTATTGATTCGGGGAGCTCCCGCAATGTCATATCCGACAATGCAGTATGTAAGTTGGGGTTGCAATTCGAGGCACACCCAGCTCCATATTCCCTTTCATGGGTACAACAAAGAGTTGCCGTTGCTGTTACTCATCGAGTATTGGTTCCACTTTCGATTGGCCCACACTACAAAGACCGGTTCTACTGCGATGTAGCTCCGATGGACGTCAGCCATCTCATCCTTGGACGGCCATGGGAGTACGACAGGAAGATCATCCATGACGGTGCTAAAAATACTTATAGCTTCACGTGAGAAACTCACCAGATACTCCTACTACCTTTGCGAAAAACTAGCTATTCCCGTACACCAGCATTGGAGAGAGTGGTCTTCCCCACTTCGTCCCCAGACTCTACCATACAGCCTTCTCGATTGTGTTTGTTTCAACAATTTTCCGATGACTTCAAACAAGAAGGCGTCATGTTTGTCATCCTTTCTACGCACGTTACTGCCTCGCCGAAAACATCCACTTCGTGTTTTGAGCCTCTCTTGGGAGAATTTGACGATGTCTTCCCCACTACCTGAGGGGCTACCCCCACTGCGTGATATCCAACACCAAATAGACCTAGCTCCCGGCGCTGCACTGCCCATTACCGTATGAGCCCGACATAGCATGAAGAGTTATGGCGTCAAGTCGAGGATTTACTGCGAAAAGGACATATCCGCGAGAGTCTTAGTCCTTGCGCAGTACCCGCATTACTCATACCCAAGAAGGATGGTTCTTGGCGTATGTGCATCGATAGCCGTGCTATTAACAAGATTACGATGCGTTACCGCTTTCCGATTCCCCGCCTCGATGATCTTTTGGACCAGATTGGCTCCGCAGTGATCTTCTCCAAAATTGACTTGAAGAGCGGCTATCACCAGATTCGTATCCGACCCGGAGACGAGTGGAAAACGGCCTTCAAGACGAGGAAGGGACTTTTTGAATGGCTGGTGATGCCGTTTGGTCTATCAAACGCGCCGATCATGAAGCAGCCATTACGCCCGTTCATTGGAAAATTTGTTGTTGTCTATTTCGACGACATTCTTATCTTCAGTTCCTCCATTAGTGATCATGCAAGACACCTCCGTGACGTTTTGACGGTCTTACATACGGAGAAATTCTTTGGTGCTAAACACAAATGCGAGTTTGGCGTGTCTCAGGTGTTGTTTCTTGGATATGTTGTTTCTGACAAAGATCTTTCGGTTGACCAATCAAAGGTGGATGCTGTTCGTTCGTGGCCCACTCCGCGCACCATTACAGATGTTCGTAGCTTTCACGGCTTAGCTTCTTTCTACAGACGTTTTGTACCACACTTCAGTTCCATTATGGCTCCTATTACGAGCTGTATGCACGAGGGCAAGTTCGAATGGACAAAGGAGGCTGCGGCGGCATTCGTCGCAATAAAATCTATGTTGACTTCGGCTCCTGTTTTGGTCCTCCTGGACTTTTCTGTTCCATTTGAGCTACATTGTGACGCTTCGAAGTTAGGCATTGGGGATGTTTTAAGCCAACTTGGACGTCCGATTGCGTATTTTAGTGAGAAAATAGTTGGTGCCTGGGGTCGTTACAGTACTTATGACGTCGAGTTTTATGCCATTGTTCAGGCTATTAAGCATTAGCGTCATTACTTAATGCATCGCGAGTTTGTGCACTTTACTGATCACGATGCCTTGCGTCATTTGGACAGTCAGACCAAGGTTTCATCCAGGCATGTCTCGTGGATAGCATATCTCCAGCAGTTTACGTTTTTAATACGACACCAATCCGGGAAGACTAACAAAGTCGCTAATGCGTTAAGTAAGAGGCACAGTTTACTCACTACGATGCATACTTCAGTGGCAGGATTTGATACATTTTCTGACTTATATGTCACGGATCCTTTCTTTGCAAAGATTTGGGACGAGATTGAGCATGGTCTTCCCTCACGTTTCACTCGCCACGAGGGATTTCTATTCGTTGGATTACGTTTGTGCTTGCCGGACAGCAGCTTGCGCCTCAAAGTCGTGAGCGAATTGCATAATGAGGGACATGTCGGACGTGACAGAACCTTGTCTCTTGTCCAATCATCGTATTTCTGGCCGTCTTTGCGCGGCGATGTGGAGCGCTTTGTCTCCTGTTGCCGTGTCTGTCAGCTTGCCAAGGGCTCCGCGTCGAATGCAGGATTGTATCTTCCGCTACCTATTCCGGATCAACCTTGGACTCACATAAGCATGGACTTCGTATTAGGGTTGCCGCGGACACAACATGGTAATGACACAATCTTCGTCGTTGTTGATCGATTTTTGAAAATGACATACTTTATAGCCTGTAAGAAGACCGCAGACGCGCTGAATATTGTGATATTGTTCTTTCGCGAGATTTACCGTCTACATGGCTTGACTTGCTCCATTGTGTTGGATCGAGACACACGTTTTCTGAGCCACTTCTGGCGTTCTTTATGGCGGTTACTATGGACGTCGTTGGATATGAGCACGGCGTATCACCCTCAAACGGATGATCAAACAGAGGTCACGAACCGAGCGTTGGAACCTGTTGCGTTGTTTGGTGGGTGACAATATCAAGAGCTGGGATGTAAAGCTTTGTCAGGCGGAGTTCGCCCATAATCACGCTCTTAATTGCTGCTTAGGCTTGAGCCCATTTCGTGTGGTGTATGGCGTGGTTCCTCGTTGTCCGATGGACCTTGCACCAATTACGGACCAAACTCGTTTCCATGGGCAAGCGGTGGAGTTGGTATAGGAGCTTCAGGACATTCATACACATGCGAAGCAGAACTTGGAAGCCGCTGTTGCCAAGTATAAGTCTGCGGCTGATGTTAAACGCAGGGCACTTCATTTTCAGCCTGGATTTTCAGCCTGGTGATCTTGTTTGGGCGGTTCTCACTAAGGATCGCATGCCGGCGGGGGAGTATAATAAACTGAAGTCTCGTAAGATAGGGCCTGTTGAGGTGCTTGAAAGAATAAACGACAATGCGTATCGCTTGTGCTTACCCCCACATTCGTACGACAGATGTCTTTAATGTTAAGTTCTTGTCTCCTTTTCGTGGTGATAACCCCGATCCGGCTTCGTGGACGAATCCTTCCCCACCAGAGGGGACCTGATGCAGCTGCATTACAGTTCAGTTCGAACAGTGGTGACTTGTTCGATAAGTTAGCTTACTCGTTATTTTTCTTTTACTTTATTTTGACTTTCTTTTAGATAATCATAAATCTTATTAGGATTTGGTTTTATAGATTTAGTTTTATCTCTTTAGTCTTATATAAAGACTCGTGCCTTGTAACGTAAAGAACACCTATGATATTGATTTTAAATAAAACAGAGCTTTATAAACAAAAGAAGAGAATTCTTATTCATTGTTCTTCGTCGAGAAATCTCTCTTCTACGAACAAGACCCGAGTTGAATATCGTTTCTCCTGGAGATTCTGATCTTCTTCTTGGTATAGCTTCCGCCCCCCATCATATACTCAAGCCCAAAGGCAACAGTTTCAAACTCACTGTGACCAAAACATGCAAAATATCTTCCATGCGAATCCCCCCCATAAATTATACTCTCCATCATTTAAGATTTGACCAATTAAGTCTGCAAAACAAATCTAAAACAGATTCCAGAACACTCATCAAGAAGAATCCCGAGAAAAAAAAAAAGAATTTAAAGAAGAAAAAAATAAAACAAACAAAACTAACCAACTAAATAATCGTCGAGAGGCGGATACTCTCTTTCATTCTCTCCTCCTCTCTCCATCTCTCTCTCCCCTTCTCTCTCTTATTATTGTTATTGAAGGAGGTTAGAAGCATCTAAAAGCAGTTGTAGTAGGAGCTGCAAACTAAAGTTGAAAGCGGTAGGTGAAGCTATAGTAGCGCAAATTTATTTAAAAAAAATATTTTTAGGAAAATAAAACTAACTATTCGAAATTAATTAAATAAAAAATATAGTAGTAACAAAAAGCAACAATCACGATCAATTAAAAACACAATATTATTAATATGTACATAAACACTAATTCCACACTTTCTTTTGCATAAAATATTTTAATAAACATATTTTGTGGAAAAAATCATAAGTTGAAAAAACTTACAAAAGTTGAACTTAATTGTGAAAGTGATGACTGAGACGAGAAAGACATGTCAGGGTTAATGCTAACACTTTGGCTGTTATTTTCAAAGCATGTCGTGATTTCTTCAGATACCGAGAGGGAAGTCAGATAAATGGGTTAGTTTCACGGATGCCATGGAGTTTGATCTGTTTCTAGGGAATTCGTTGGTTTCGATGTACTCTAAGCTTGGACATATCTCTGAAGCTTATAAACTTTTCGAGAAGATGCTGAGCAAAGACATGGTATCTTGGACAGATATGATCAAAGGGCTTTCTGGATATTATGAGGAGGCGATTTGCTGGTTTCGTAAGATGCTCCGGGAAGAAGTTTGTCCAAATTCTTACACTTTCAGTAGTGTCCTCAGCGCAACAGCTAGTTTGGCGGCATTGATCGAAGGACTACAAATCCATACTAGAGTTGTGAAGATGAACATCGAGAATGACTTGTCAGTTCAGAATTCGTTGGTATCGATGTATTCCAAATGTGGCAACACGAATGATGCTTACAGGATCTTCTCGTGCATCAACGAGCCTAATATTGTTTCTTACAACACGATGATCAGCGGGTTTTCTTATAATGGTTTGGTGAAGGAAGCTCTTAAATTGTTTTCGATGTTGGAAAGTACAGGAAGAGAGCCAAACGGTGTTACCTTTCTTGCTGTGTTATCAGCTTGCGCTCATGTTGGATACGTGGACTTAGGATGGAAACACTTCAGATCGATGAAATCTTCCTTCGGCATTGAACCAGGACCTGATCATTATGCATGCATGGTTGATCTCCTTGGAAGAAGTGGAATGCTTGATGAGGCGTATCACTTGATCTCTTCAATGCCTTTTGAGCCTCATTCTGGGGTTTGGGGCAGCCTGCTTGGTGCAAGCAAGACTTATGTACGCGTCGATCTCGCAGAGCTTGCTGCTAAGAAACTAATTGAACTTGAACCTGATAGTGCAACACCGTATGTTGTATTGTCTCGGCTATATTCAATTGTTGGGAATAACAGAGATGGTGATCGGATAAGGAATATCAAGAAATCGAAAAGAATCAAGAAGGATCCAGGGTCTAGCTGGATCGTACTAAAGAGTGAAGTGCACAATTTTCTTGCGGGGGACGAATCTCATCTGAATCTGGATGAGATAACGTTGACACTGAAGATGGTTGAAAAGGAAATGGAACTGATTTCTGTCAGCCATGGAAGTAGTTTTCAGTGAAGCAACGTGCAAAGTTATCAAACTAATGGATTGGTTTGTGTATGTATTCTTCACAGTGAAGCCTGTAAACTGATGCAGAGAACTTATCCATACCTTAACCAAGTTCTGCTAATATTGAGGTATGAGTTAATTTAATAATAACATTAGTAACAAATTTGTGTTATTTATGTTTTACTTCTTAATATGATAATTGTTGTTATTTGCTTAAAACATATCCTATTCCAAATAAAATTAGCTGATAATGACTATAAATACGGTTGCATTCGTTAAGAAACAAAACGTGAGTTTTTGAAGTTTATTTGATTCTGCTCTCTTGTTGCGGGGAGATCGTCATGGCTCCTTATGTCATTTTCTTGATAGCGTGTGGCGGTTTCATTCTTGCGTTTGCTTTAATGTCGTGTTGCCTGGGGAAGGAGAAGGAAACATTACCTACGAATAATCCCAACATCCAGAGAAGTAGAGCAGGTGTAACAAGCACCAATGGTGACTTCTTGTTTTATCCAGCGGCTGCATCTCTCCCTACGGTCTCTAGTTCCGGCTATTGCGGCCACCATCACGGCGGCGGACATCATAGTGGTGTTGGTGGAGGCAGAGCCGTGCCAAAGGTTTTTAGTGCCGTAGGCGAAAAACAAAAACAACATTTTTATTAAATAATTATTTTAAAAATAATTAATTTCTGTGAAAGAAAATATTAATAGAATTATTTATAAAAGAGATTTTAAATTATTTTATGTTTGGTGTATATATATAATTGTAATACATAAGATACAACATTGTAAAAAATAAAAAAAATTAGCATTGTATATACAGTAAAACTTTTATAAATTAGTATTTGATTCATTAATACCTAGATAAATTAATATTTTTATCAGTTCTAAAATTAGTTTATCAACTAAATAGTATATTTCTAAATTAATAATTACTATAAATTACTAATATTTTTGTAAAAATTCATGATTCAACGTTATTAGTTTATAGAGATTACACTGTAATATATTAGTTAAATTGTAAACTAAAGGTAAGTAAAAAATAAAATAAATCATATTACAGAAAATAAGAAGTTGGTGATTTTTTTTTTTTGAAAAAAAAAAAATAGATAATGTGGTAAAAATGAAAAAGGCAAAATAAATGTATGAATATATAAATACAAAAAACAAAATTCAAAAGTTAAGAAAAATATTTATGGACATAGCAGTTGACTTTAGATTCTAAAAAACAAACTTTGAGATATTAACGATAAGAACATAAGTTTAGAATATTTATAGATATATATAATACTAATTTATTCTATCTTTTGCTTTCAAAATATTTCATAAAATTTTGAGGTCGTAGGCGAAGGTTTCTTTAACTCCTTCGTAGGCACGGCCCTGGGTGGAGGAGGATGTGGCGGCGGCGGCGGACATCATGGGGGTGGTGGAGGAGGATGTGGTGGCAGCGGAGGCGGTGGAGGGTGTGGTGGTGGTGGTGGTGGCGGTGGTGGTGGCGGATGTAACTAGAATAACGATTTCTAGTTAGATGATTCTGAGTATACGTTGTTCAAAAAAAATAAAAAATAAATAAATAAATGATTCTGAGTATATTTTTTTTAATTATTATTTCAATTGATTTTTTTTTTCATTTAATTTGTGTTGGATTTAATTTTGTATGTTTTTTTCTTCTCTTGGACTGAATATTATCTAGGCATTTTTATATTTGATATTATTTAATTTTTAAAATGCTTTCTAACCATTTAAAAATACAACAATCTGATGATTTGAAAATATTTTAGGAATTTTTAGATTCTGTTAACCTTAGGATATACTTCTCTAGCTAAAATAATTAATGAGATATATGATATTCTATATATATGTTATAATATACTCTACTTAATAAATAATTTCTTTTGTACTTTAATATATAATACTTATTAAGTTAGAATTTTATCATCTTTTTATATATTAAAAAGCGTATAGTAATATCTATATTAGAGATACCATATAGCATATATTATTCATTATTTTATCTCATTTTTTACGTTTGAGATTTCTAATAATTTACTAGTTCGTGTATGTTTTCAATTGAAAAATTATGATATAAGTATATAACAATATAAAATCATAAAAAAACATTTTAAACATTCTTTTTATTATTAGATTGATGAAAGTGTCACAATGTTCTTTAGAGGACTTCGTGGTGAAATATATATACGGTGATCTTCTTTACATTTTGCTCACACAAACACAAATCATAACTCTTTCATGTTTGAAAAGCATATATATAATTTTTGTAAAAAATGATCAACAAAACAAAAATGTTGATATGAAAAACAAATATATACCTTTTGTCAAAAAAAAACAAATGATAAGTCTTTTCATATATAAAATAACAAAAATCTTCAAAAGAAACCACGACATGATACAAAAGAATACGAAGCAACCGTTGAAGTGACAAGTCGTGCCGCTTCAGCAGCAGCCGGTGGTGTTTTCTTTCCGACCGCCATTCTGACTCTTGCTGTAACGGAAGTAGAAGAGACATAAGATGAATATTATCATGAATATTACTCCAATCACTATGTCCATAATCTTCAATGGAGTCATCGATTTTTGTTTTACTTGATATCTAAATTATGATTCCTTTTTTCTCTCTCTCTAAATTATGATTTAGATTTACAGAGAGAAACAATAATTCTCTCTTTGGCTATGTGTAGCTTCTTATTATATATACAAATAAAGGTTTTGGAGCTGAGTCATTTTATTGAGACTTTGTATTTGGAAGTTGTTTCGTTGACGATTGACTTTTGTTTTTTTAATAATTATAATGTTTTAGGGAAATCAGGACTGGTTCACACAAATCAACTTTTTGTTTTGATTTAACCATTATCACACTCTTTGACTACGTGCATATTTCTCTTTTACAAAATACATATGTTAGAACATCTTGTCAATTTTACCCCCCAAAAAAGAGAGAAGATCTTGTCAAAATAAACCTTAACAAAATTATCGATGTAGTATAAAATAGATGTACACGAGTGGTTAGTAAAATAAAAGATGGAGTACTCCCTCCGTTCTTAAATGTATGATGTTTTAAATTTTTTACTTGTTCCATTAAGATTAATGTTTTAGAGTATTAAATACATATTTTTGCAGATTTCAAAAAAAGTAACTAAAACTATTCAAATCCTTAAATCACTATTGGTTAATAAGTAATGATTGTAAAAAAGTAATGCATTAATAACTAAAAAATAACTCTTCCTTAATTTATGTAAACAAGCTAAAATATCATATTTTCTGAAACGGAGAGAGTATAAAATAGAGGTACATGAGTGGATGTATATGGTCTATGTGATAAACCGTATACTTAATAAACCAATATCAAAAAGCCACGGATACAATTGAAGTCAACCGCGAAATCGCCGCCATAACCACTGCCGAGACAGGCGATGCTTTCTTTGCCATCTTTCTTAGCTTTGTGGTAGAGAAAGTGAATGAGCCATAGGATGAACAAAAGCAACATAAATGCACCAAACCCTATAAACAAAATAGCCACAGGACTCATCTCGATCGACTTCTTTTTGATTAACTGTGAGTTGTGATTTTCACTTTTTACAAAGGGGAACAACAAGATGCGCGTACATATATATAGAGAGATGGTGAGCCTTTACGAACCTCTCGACTCTCGTTCACTTACATTTAGAACTCAACTTGTTAAGCATTGACTTTATATTAGGCTTTATTTGTATTTCAAACAGAGTCGGGTATTTTCTTATAGTATTTTCAAACCTATTTTGAGAAGCAAACTTTTATTATTTTATAGATTGAACAGATTTGCTTTTTATTAATAAAAATAAAATATAGTAGTATTAAAAAAAGAGATTGGTGGGAGCCGAATATTCTTATGCATAATGCGGACGTTAATTACTTTTTCCAATTTGAAACATTTTAACTTATGTATAACATATATACACAGTTCCCACATCCTCAAGCGCTATACATTTGGGGTTCAATATACCATTATATATTATTTTATTTTTAAACTTAATGCATACCTCACAGGCTCACACAAAGTACATTACATTACATATATAAATGAGACACTAGGTTATACTTAGACAGGTCACATGCATAAAGCCTCATTATACATAGATTTTCTCAAAGTCGAAACAAAAAAAAAGATGTGGTGTTTCTTTTCTTCGATTTTCTATCACAGTTTGTTTTAAAAAATCCTAATTAAGCCATAGAAAAATTCTCTTAAATCACAGGAAACAAAAGTTCTCCTAAATTTGCCATACGTCAGGTTTATATACATTGAATTTACACTCTCAACATGCGTTACTTATGGACTAAGAGTTATTATCACACCCACAAAAATTAAATCATAACATAACTATAAGTCTATAAGGAAGCCCTTAACCTCCACAGCCACCACGTACAGCCTCCACAACCGCCTCCACAATAAGAACCGTTATAATCGACATCACCGGCAGAATCTACGGTCGTTACAGCTGCAGCTACCGCAGCTGTAGTGGAAACATTCCTTGTCAGAACAACAAGGCCTCCATCTTTTGTTCCCGTTTTACCCATTTCCAAATCTCGCGGCTGAGACTTCAACGGCTTTTGTTTCCTGTGGGTGAGGACACAACATAAGACAATCGACGGCAAAACAATACCAGCACATACTATAATAATGACAATAACAAAAGCACATTTCCTTTCTTTGTTTGTAAAATGGAATTGATACCAAAAAAATGAGACATATAAGTATATAACCTTAAGGTACACGAAATTGCAAAGGAAATGAGACATTTTCTTCTTGATTACTTTTTCTTTTCAGTAATATTTTATAAGTTGCTACAGCTTGCTTTGAGTTTTTCACTTATACAACTTAATTCGTTGATGTTTCTGCTCATACAAGAGAATATTCATCCTTTGCATAAAATTTTCAGTTCCAAAATCTTCAATGGAGAGCCTTAATTCTAACATTTTGACAAGTACTTGACAATCGCTTTCAAAGATAACGTGTGTATAGTATATCACATATAACAAGTGTTTAATTTGGATTAATTGGTGTTAGTAATGTTCTCTCTTTCGCTTCCAAGGTTGAAGAAGTCATGTCTAAATTCTCCGAACCTCGATATTTAGTACTAGTTTACCATTCATCGACAAGTACTGAGCCCAATTCCCTATAAAATGATCCCTTAAAATCTATTCACCAACAGTTTGATTTGTTTGCGGGTTGAATGCTGCATCGTAGTTGTAGTTAAGCCATCCTTGCTTAGCCCGATGAGTCCCAATTTCTCTAGATGCAACGGTATGAAATGGTGATTATATTTTTTGAACTTCAGTTTCATCGTTTGGAACATTAACATTTAACCACCATTCATTCACATGCATCTCCATAAATTTAACTAAATTATATAGTAAATTTTCATGGAAAGTAAAATAAACATATGATGCTTTATATATATTATGTTGTATTATATTTACATTACATTATTTTTATAAGAATTTTACTTTCCATTTATTATAATAAAAAACGGTTGACCAAAACAAAAATACATTACATTCACAAGAAGTTATCATTACATAAAGAATTACAGGGACCTCACTTTTTTAAGCGCCTCCACCTCCACCTCCGCAGCCACCACCCCCGCCTCCACATCCTCCGCCACCACCGTCTCCACCACCACCGTCTCCACCACCACCGTCTCCACCTCCGCCATCACCGCCGCCAAAACAGCAGCAGCATGCGTCTGCTTGTATTTCTACTCCTCCATCGCGACGCTTCTTAGGCTTAGTAGGCTTCACTTTCTTCCCCTTTTTACCATTTTTCACATCTCGCGGCTTTTTCTTCTTGCGGCTGAAGCAACAGCATAATATTCGACACATCGTGAATAGCAAACGCAGTCACAGAGATTTTGATAAATGACAACAATAAATGTAGATGCTTTTGTTTGTAAGTGTTCTGAATGCTGATGAAAAATATATTTGTGATGTAAAAGCCCTTTTATAGATCCCCAAATTTGACAATTTTAATATTTATATATTATAAGTTTACGACGTAGACTATTTGTTTATGAAGGACACAAGAAATTGCACAAAGAAAAGTCAATTCTACTAGGAGAAAAGTAGGACTTCCCTTCTTGATTAATATATTATATATACGGTCAAATAGAGAATGAGATGGTTATTTACAGCATGAATGGGTTTTTCAACATAATAGGTTATGTCGTTGAAAATTCCACGGAAATATAACATGTTATGTACATATTATGATATTAAATCACAGTTTTTTATGAATCGACTACTCAGTTATTTCAAATATAAACGTGTAACCCAAGCTTATGACATAAACCTTAACCATTCATAGAGTATATAACACTTATATCTGAATAGTCTCGGACCATACATAAATCCACATGTAAGAATGGATATTATTATGGGCCATTTAATTAAATTAATTATTGCTTAATGCATACAAATAAATATATTAATTGGAGGCACAAAATTAATATATAATTTTACAAAATTTCATATATCATGAAATAATATTTTTTTAAACGTAAACTTATCACAAAAAGAATATTTCTGTTTGGGATGATACTGCATCTTTCAACCAAAAGACGATCGTAGACATGTAATGACGAAACCAAAACTAATCGTCAAAACAAACAAGGTCCTCGGTATCTGAGAAGAAGACATGTCAGCTAACACATCACGAGTACCGTACATCTTAACGTAGATTTATACAAGATCGGGTTGATCCGTTTACTATTTCTACAAATACTTCTTTTTTTCTGTTAAATTATTTCTATAAATACTCCTTTAAGGTTTTAACTAATTTGAGAAAAGAGGAAAGAGTGAGGACAGAGTCTGAGGTTAGACCTAAAGATGAACTTTTACACTACAAATTAAATTCTTTCTTTTTGTCAAGCTCTTATACTATATAATAATACACACAAGAATTATCGTAAAATACCATTTTGTATGTTTTTAGGGGTTTTTTCTAAATCACTACAAAGAGTTCGGGCTTACGCTCTAGTTCCAATATTGGCACATTCAACTTCTCATTCTAGTTAATTAGCGAGAACACACGTTAAAATCTTTCATGTACATATAAAATATCACACAAGAAATCATTACATAACTGATAACTACGAAAGCCTTATCCCCCACATCCGCCGCAACCGCCACAGCCGCCACAACCTCCACACCCGCCGCCATCTCCACCACCGTCATCACCACCTCCACCACCAGAACTGCGATTAGTATCACCACCTGAAGATTTGGTGGTTACAGCCGCAGGTTTAGCAACTGTAGTAGTGGAAGCAGTCGCAGTCAAAACCACAAGACCACCATCTCTTGTAACGCCATTTCTAGCGTTTTCCAAATCTCTTGGCTGCGGCGGAAGCGGTGGAGGCCATGTCGTTTTCTTCTTGCGGTTGAGAAGACAGCATAAGATAAGAACCACCGCAGTTGCAGCGACACAACCGCATACTATAAGAGCAATAACATAACTTTTCATTATTTTTTCGTTTCTTGAAACTGAAGTGATACAGATGTTATGACTTTTGGTATCCTTTTATATATATCATATTTTGTCGTACAGTTTGAAAATGTATAGAAGCTTAGGGCATAACCTAATTATTTAAATTGGTTTATGTAAACTAGAAGAATTTGCAAAGGAAATTTCAAATTAGTAGATATGACATTTTCTTCTTGATTACTTTTTCTTTCAAAGAAGACAAAAAAGATTCTACACCTTATCTGGAGTTGTGGCTTACACAACTTAATTAATTTTTTTTTTCTGGGTCAACAATTACTTACATATACTTATATTAGTTAATTTGTACTTGAGAATTTTTTTTCTTTTTTATAAGTTTGTAGGTGTGATTAAATCAATAATTGAGTATAATTATTCTTTCATTCTTTTGAATATACTAGTTCTTAAGTATTCGTTCATTCTTTTGAATGTCGTTTTCATTCATGTTTGTGTAGAAGAAATCATTAAGGTGTTTATCTTTGACTGTAAAACCCAAACGAAATGTTTGAAACAAATAAACCTCTAACAAAATCATCTATCATGGGATGTACGACGAGATCACCATTAAAGGTCTATCACTATTATAGGGAATTTAAGAAAATTAAAGGTATGTATACATAATTTGTTTTAAAAGACGTATATACCTTTTACTTTGGTTTTTAATTATATGTATATATAGTATTAGAGTACATGTATATATGGTTTAGTGTTGGTTCACTCCTGCTTATGTTATGTTGGGTATCGAGTGTTTTAGGTTTGGTTTGGCTATAAAGTGTACTTTACTTGCTTGGTATATATATAAGATCATTTACTGAAAATATACGATCAATGAAGGAATACTGAAAATATATACTTTCAATTTCCATTCTCACATGAAATAACAGATCAAATAATTATTACATTAATAAATATATATATAGATATATATATATAAATACATTGCATAGTACACAACTACAAGAAGTTATATCATATATCATCACATATTGAACAACGGAAACATTCTCTTTTAACCGCCTCCACCTCCACCTCCGCAGCCGCCACCTCCGCCTCCACATCCACCACCACCGTCTCCGCCACCGCCGTCTCCGCCGCCACAACAGCAGCATGCATCTGCTTGTATTTCTACTCTTCCATCGCGACGCTTCTTAGGCTTAGTCGGTTTCACTTTCTTTCCATTTTTACCCTTTTTTACATCTCGCGGTTTTTTCTTCTTGCGGCAGAAGCAACAACATAACAATCGGCACATCGTGATTCGTGATCGTCTAGCAAAAGCAATCACAGAGATTGTGATAAATGTCAACAATATATGTATAAGATTTTTTTTTTGTTTTCAAATGTTCTGATTTCTGAATGATGCAAATATATGTGATGTAAATGTCCTTTATATACTTGAGTCCCAAATTGCCGTGGACTTTGACAAATATATAGTAGGTCATGACATAAACTATTTTTTTATGAAAGATACAAGAAATTTCAGAATTCAATTCTGCTAGCTGAAAAGTGAGACTTCGCTTCTTGATTTTTACATGGTCAAATAGGAAATGAGATGCACATTTACAGTAAATATTTTTTTCAACATTTATAAGTTATGAAGTTTAAAATGGTCTAAACTCTAATTAAACGTTATAATGTCGACGACACTTTTAATGTCTGACTTTATCAAATCGAAATTTCTGGCGTACGTGCGGGATAGCATATGATAGAGAATATGTTGATTGATTTGGAAACTATATACTTATACATGCAATTGAATATATTATCATTTTCATCGTTTCCAATCTTGTAGAGCCGAAAATTACAAGAATAAAAGCGATAATTATGATTAAATAGCTTGCGAAACAAGTCAAACTTCGGGCCAATCATCTATCTACAAGATTTTTGATTGTTTGACCAACAAAAAAAAACTATCTACAGGATTTTTATGCTTTACCAGATAATTAAATATACATCAGTTTCCATTCGCACAAGAGATCACGCGTTAAAATCTAACAAGCACTGGTACATTATACACAAAACACTTTTTTTAAAAAAAAAACAATATACACAAACACACACACACGTCATCGTTACTTAACTACGGAATTACTAAACCTGACCATTTTAGTTATTTTAACCTCCACCACCTCCACAACCACCACCGCAACCACCACCACCACCGCAACAGCCACCACCACAACCACCATCTCCGCCGCCACAACAACAGCCTCCTCCGTTGCCGTTGCTGGAACGCCTCTTACTCGGCTTCAAAACAACAAGCGATCTATCCTTCTTTCGATTTTTAGCCTTTTTGATCACTTCTCGTGTCTCTTTCTTCTTATGGCCGAGGAAACAACAAAACTTTCGGATCATCGCGATCGAATATAGCAAGAAAATCACAGATTATACTTAAGATCAACAGTATAAGCTTCTGTCGAGTCTCTTTGTTTTTTTCTGATTCTTTGAATACTAATACACGTATAATATTATGTTCTTTTGTAGTAAATTCCCAAATTGTTGTACACTTTGAAAGTATCTATGTCTACATTTGTTTAGAACACAAGATTACGACATAGTCTACATTTGTTTAGAATACAAGATTACGACATAGTCTACATTTGTTGTCCGAAAGATACAAGAGATTTTCTTCTTGGTTAGTTGACGAAATATACGGTCAAATAGACTGAGATCTTCATTTATTAAATATAGGTTGGATAATTAAAATTCCAAGGAAACAGCACATTACAGTTTATTTAATTATGAGTTTATTATTCATATAATCCGATACGTGCTACAACAACCAAAGACCAATTGATTCTACATTGTAATCTTCTATGAAAGTATTTTTTTTCTTTCTCTTAATTACATCTATTAAAAATAGTTTTTTTTGAGCTAAAAGTCTACTAAAAAAATTATTTGATGAATTGAGCATATATAAAGTATAAACAAAACTTTGTGCAAACTGCAAACCAAATATTTTACATTTACACGATTGTTTCTTCACATATATACATACATTTAATTTTCAATCACATTTTAAAATAAAGGCACAGATGAATATTTCAAACTACGCACAATATAATAATCACCTTAATTATTATTATAACTACGAAAAACCTCAAACCCTCATCTTTTAACAACCGCCGCCGCCACATCCACCACCGCAACCTCCGATACCACCGATGTCTTTACCGTAGCGTTTGCGACGACCTGGAGCCTTTTTTACTACTGGCGGCTGTGGAGGCGGCTGTGGCTTTTTCTTCTCCGTCTTGGCCACTTGTGGTGGAGGAGGAGACGGTGAAATTTTCTTGCCCGTTTCAACCACTTGTGGCGGAGGCGACGACGGTCTTATCTTGGTGCAGCTGATGAAACAGCATAAGATACGAAACATCACCATCGTTATAGCGAAAATAAATGTAAAAATATAGTGACACGCATAAATGATAAATTGACCCTTTATATATAGATAGCCCAAAATTTCCGTTGACTTTTATGTGATTTAGGTAAGCTTGCCGACACGAGCCACATGGCGTATATATTTTTGAGAGTTACAAGAAATTGCGAAGAAATTTATAATTTGTAGAAAAAATAAACAAATAAGTGGAACTATTGGTTGGTATTCAAAATAAAATAGTAATATCTTAGTATTAAATTATTCAAAAAAATTGAAAATCATGAAAGAGAAAAAAGAATCAGCTCTTATATATGAGATTTAAGAAACTATTCTTAATTTTTTCTAACACATGTCATTTAATTACTTATTCATTTTTTAAAAAAAAATTATGAGAGAAAAAATAATGGGTTTTTTTTAATGTTTAGATACTCAAATTAAGAATTTTAGCATTGCATATGGTCTTAGTAGTTTAGTACAAACGGTTTTGCCAACAGAACTAGTTGTTGTGATTAACCATATTGTTTGTAAAAGTATTCGTTTGGATTTATAATCATCTCTACTTTCTCTTTTGACATAGTCTTTACAGCAATATAATATACTATTACAGTAACACTTTTATAAATTAATAATGTTGGGATCTTAAAGGTTTATAAATTTTTTAAAAAATTATAATAATTAATTTATAGAAATATTATTTGGTTAATAAATTAATTTTGAGACTGATAAAAAAAATAATTTATCTAAATATTAATGAATTGAGTATTAATGTACAGGAATTCTACTGTATATAATAATAAAAAATAAACAGATGAAGCTAGTTGATAATAAAAAAAAAAGATTAAAAGAAATAAGTTAATGTTCTTGACTAAGATCACTATATTTGGCCTTTCTAAGTACGGAAGAAAAGTTGTGGAGGACAACCAACTATACAAGTTGCAGAAATTATATAAAACACGCTATATCTCATTAAGTATTGAATTAATGGTGTTCTTTGTTTAGCTAACAGTTGATATACTTAAAAACAATATACTAATTAATAACTACGGGAGATAGTAGTGAAGATGACAATTATTGTAACAATTGGTTTGTTCGATGATTTTTTTGATTATATACATTATACATACAATGGATTTATTAGGTACCACTGATAGAGGCTGTTACTTAGGCTTATAAATAGTTATATATGTATGTGAACATTTTCCATTCAATAAAACTACTATTTCGTAAGATTTAAGTCCATGGATGATGGATCCACGTTACATTAACTGCAAATTAATAAAAAGACTTAACATCGTTACTAAATCCATAAAGTAATATCGTTAATTACTACGATTAACTACAAAAACCACGATTTTTCAACATCCCCCACAACCTCCACCACCGCTGCTGTCACCACCGCCACTGTCACCACCACCGCCACAACCACTGTCACCACCACCGCCACAACCGGTAGAACTAAAAGCAGCCAGAAAATCGACACCTCCATCACCTCTCCTTCCCTGAAACGTCGCCGATCTCGTAGGTGCCTTGTTCCCAATGGTGTCGCTTCTACCGTACAAGCGATCTTGAGGAGTAGAATCGCCGGTGAAGTGTCTGACACCTTCAAGTTATTACAATAGTTAGCTAACTAAAAACAAGGAATTAACCTACAATAACCGAGAGACTTAGTCGAAAGTGATCCAAATCTCTCATTTCTTAATAAAATTTACATTCATAATCCGAAAAGGCGTATATCTCTTACCATTTCCCACATGAATTTTCCTTGTCTGATGTGTAGGAGCACTGACTATCCTCCGTTGCCAATGCGGCGACTCCGACGGTGGAAGTTTCTTCCTCTTGTTCATGCAACAGTAACAAATGATTACGAGAACCATTACCGCAATAACACTGGCGATGGCTATAACAACAATTTTAAAATGCTGATCGATTTTCATAGTTTTTTTGTTGTTGTTTTGTTTCGTTGAACGTTTTATTAACTGTAAGGATGATGATTCATGAGATAATGAGAGATTAGCGAGCATTTGATAGGGTGGTTGATTCACTCCAGTTGTAGAAAAAGCGTGTGGAGCCTAAATGAATGTAGAGTAGAGTGAGTCTATCTATATCCGGAAAACATACAAATGCAACATTATTGGCGGTCTGATAAGTCGTCTCGACCACTATTTTTGGCCGCGATGTCTTCCACGCGCTCGAAGTGGACGAGATAATGCATGAAACATAACGAGAGTTTATTGATCATAACATTAACAATTACATTCAATTATACTTTTTCAGTAACAACTACAATAATTGATAAACATTACTTTCTACGTATTATTAAAAAATATGATGTTTTAAGTTTTGTTTTTACGTTGGATTAATGTTTTAGTATGTATATATATATATATATATACATAAAATTTACTCTTATATATAATTAGTACTTAGTTATTATAGTTTTAATTTTAAAATCAATCTTTACGAAAGAGTATATGCTTCATTCAGTTTTTAATTACGATCTGCTCTTATGGTGAAATATATGCATATTATGCACAAGATGACAAGAGTTATAAATAAAAAGACAAATTATGTGATCTACCATATATGCAAACCCAGCAAAAAAAAGTCAAATATATTTACATGCATTTACTTTTCGGAAATAATAACATTTATACAGTAATCGTTTGTTTACCTATATATATATATATGATTCATTTCATCGTATGAAAAGATAACTAGATTTACACATATACTGTACATTCAATTTCCACTCTCACTAGAGATCATACACTTTATCACACATTCAAATCTTACATGATACACATAATTAAATGAATCACATGCACAAGGAATCATTATGATTTCAACAATTACTATATTTTCAACCGCCACCCCCTCCACACCCACCTCCACAACCTCCTCCACAACCGCCGTCGCCGGCGCAACCACCAAAAGGACCACCACCAACTCCTCCACCGCAACAGCATCCTCCGGTAGTCATACTCTTTCCCGACGACGTCATGACAACAAGATTTCCATCTTTCGTTCCAGTCGTTTCACCCTTTTTGTCGTCACCTCTCGGTGATGATGACGCAGGCTCCTCCTCCTTCCGACACATGTAATAGCATAAGAGAAGACCCATCCCGATGGTAGTAAAACAAAAGATTATAATGGCCAAGTTTTTTTCTCTGAAAGTTTATAATGATACCAATATGATAAATTATCCTTTCATATATACACCCCCAAATATCCATTGACATTTACAACATTAACCTATTTATTTTTCTGACGTATACAATTATAATATCAAATATCAAATAAATGGAATTTTTCTTGTTGATTAACTTATCAAGAAAGAAAATTCATGGATATAATACATTCCCTTCTTTCTTGATATATTTTAATGAAACGAGATGACTGAGATTGTTCGAAGACCAAACAAGCTTTTCCTGTGAAATTACGGAAAAAAGATAGAAAGCCTTTGGTCTTAGGACCTCTCTGGTCCTGACGTCATTACACTAAACCCTCCATCTTTCTTTCTCGGTTAAACCATTTTAACACGTAGCGGAGAAGGGACGAGAACTTTTTCTTGCGGCTGAGGAAACATCGACATCGTATTGCAAAACTCAGTCACACAAGTTAAGCTTTTGTCGTCTTTTGAAAACATTCTACGAAGCTGTGCATATGATTCAAATGTCCTTTTCTGTATAGATATCTCCACATCGCCATTGACGCTGTATATACATAAGTTTACGACATGTTTTTTTTTGTTTTTTTTGTAACAAGATTTAAGTTTTACGACATGTTCATAAATCATAATCTATTTATTCTTAAAGAGTAAACGATATTGCAAAATAAAACTCAATTCTGCTCAGGGATGTAAGCGTTATATTCTTCAAATTCATAGGAGAACCATTCAAATCTAAGCAATCAAAAAAAAAAATGTCTCCTTGCGGCACATGTAATAGCATAAGAGAAGACCCATCTCGAGTTCTCGATGGTAGTAAGTAACAAAAGAATATAATGGCAAATAGGCAATTTTATAATATGTTTATGAAATATTTGTCGTTAAAATTTCTGAAAAATTTAATATGATAAATTGTCCCTTCATGTATATAGATAGGCCCAAATTTCCGTTGACTTTGAATATAAGCTTACAAGTTGCTACAACATGATCTATTTATTTTCTGACGTATTGCAACAGAAATATCGATCTATTAGCAAATAAGTGGCAATTTTCTTGTTGATTAACCTTGATCATGAAAACAAAATATGTAAATATACACAGTCAACTCTAATGAGATCCCCAGGTATATGATATAGATTTCATAGTTGAACAAGACATTTATAGAATTATGGATTGTATATTTATCAGAGTGCAACTACGAAACTTGATATAAATTACACACTTTTTTTTTTTGAATGAAATATATTAATGAAGTTAGATGACTGAGCTTGTTCCCAAGACTAAGCTAGACCTCACCTAAGATAGCTTTGAAAGCGCGTGGCTTATTCAGTTACTCAGTCTTTATACACATCAATCATGCATTCTGAAAATGTTGGAAAGATTCTAAACCATACACTATAAAATAAAAAAGCATCTTTTAATGGAAATTTTCATCTAATATCCAAATAATTTCACCAGAGACACATGATAGCCGTTGCAAAATGTATGTTACTCTACCCCAAAATGTATAAAACGTATGCCAGAAAATTTAGCTCATCATGAGTATATAATCCTAAATTTGATAATGGTACTTTAAAAACAGAATTATCACCCCAAAAGAAAACTGATCAACAATGTATACGACTCGATCGAATTATCTTGATCAGATGGTAATTATAGTATATCAAAAGTGTGTTTGGGAAGTATTGTGAAAGATTATCATAAAATGTTAAAGTTCTTGTATAGTGATGACATCAACAACAACAACAAAAATTACAACATATTCTAAATAAAAATAAATTTCTAAATTTTATCTATGTTCTTCACAAAATCGATAAAATGATGATATTGTGAAAGTTAAAAAAAAATAGTAATTTCACATATACAAATCATTATAGTACATGTAGATCATGTACATGCATTCCATTTGCACGCACACAAAAGAGTATTGATTATCACACGACAAAAACCTTGCACGTATACAAAAAGTACGATCACACAAACAAGAAACATTACATTTACATAACCGCGAAACGCTTTAACCACCACAACCGCCGCAACCTCCACAACCGCCACCGTCACCACAAAGACAGCCTTTACCGCGTCCAAAAGCCCTGCTTGTGGTTGTCTTACTACCTGACGTCATCACCCGAAGTCCTCCATCTTTCTTTCCCGTTTTACACTTTTTGACATCTTGAGACGGAGAAGCCGACGACGACGGTACTTTTTTCTTCTTCCCACTGAGGAAACCACATAACATACGAACCATGGAGTTCGTACTTGGTATGGAATTAGCAAGAGAGAATTGTGATAAAGAACGAAGTTTTGTCTTTTTTTTTTTTTTTTTGAAAAAGTACTGAATCTGTAAACATGATTAATGTCCTTTTATTTTATATATAGATAAGGTAATAACCTGCGCCCTGCGCAGAGTGAAATATCTTTTATTAAATTAATATAATTTTTTAAATATTATATAACATAATATATTTAGTTTTAATTTTCGTTTTATATAATATGGTTGTAAAATATATTAATAATATAATAGAGTATTTTTTATTTATATTAGTATAAAACCGATGTAACGTCCAATCAATATACATTGTTTTACTCTAATGGGTTTAAATATAGGTTTGAATGATATAAAAAATGATAGATATAAATAACTTAATTTGTAAAAGAAAAAATAAATTATTGCTTTCAAAATAATTTAAAACTAACGATAGTCGGAAATATAAAAGAATTCTGCTAATAATATCAAAGCATCCATATTCAAAACTATGTAAATGCTATCAAAGAGTGGTGATCGAAAAGTTGTTTATTTATGAAATATGTATTAGTAATATTTAATACACCAATATATTGGGTAGATTTGTAGTAGTTATTGATTGATATAATTATAATAAATAATTATTTTATCTCTTTAAATTATTTTAGGATAAATAAATAAGAATTAAAACGGCTAACCAAAAAAACGGATTATAAACAAAAGAGAAAATAGAGAATAACATAAGTTGCAATCAAACCAACGTGGTGTCACATGAATAAACAAATAATCACATTGTATATGACTCGAATCTTAGAACTTATTTTTTATTGTCTGATGTATATTAAAGTTAATCAAATAGAATATAATTTGAAGTTGTAATAATATAATGTACTTAAACTATACACAAAACAACATGTAGAGAGACCGAAGATTAAGAAATAAAGGCTTCATTAGAATTTTACGGAAACAAATAACGAAACATAAAAGACGCAAATTATTGAAAAAACAGAACTAAAAAAAAAAATTCAAACCCAGAAAACGATTGAAACCTCTAGGTTTCAGATCAGTAGTAGAACTAAAAGATGCCATGAGAATGAACTGTAAAAAAACTTTAACCAGAAAATGCAATGAGAAAGTGATATGTGAATGCATATAGCACACGTCTTATATATAGTTGGGTGACAATTTAAATCATGATATATATGATAAGTATTTATGGCACATGTAATATTTAAAATATAAGACATTAAATAACGAAATGACCCAATTATAGATATGAAGTTAATATTTAAGATATTAATCGGTTGAACTATGTTTTTACTAACTATCAAATGAACAATGAAATATGTCATTTCTTAAATAGTAATTAGTAGTATCGATTATTACCTAATACTTAAGAAAGACGTATTAACTCTACTAATCATAGATTGAGAAAGACGAAAACACATCAATAACGTTATTAATCAAATATTAAGTTTGGCAATTACTCATTTAATGCATATATATGGAGTACTTGGCATATATTGATCCTCTTTTAATTTATTAGTTTCTATATATTGATGCATGAATAATTTAAAGTTAATGCATATTGATACGTCTTTCTCAAGTTATCATTTAATGCATATTTAGCATGTAAATTAATTTATATGTGATTAGTTTATCTTTCTATACATGCGATTAATTCTAAACCTCTATTTCTAAAGTCAAGATTTAACAATCAAAATAAAATAAAAAATATTTATTAATTCATATGCATGCGATTTATTCTAAACCACTATTTCTAAAGTTAAGATTTATGAATCAAAATACAAAATTAGTATAAATGATTAATAATTATGTTGGATACAAATATAAAAGATACTAACTATTGGAATGAATGAATCTACTAACTATACTATTTCTTTTTAATATGATTAATGTATAATATTTTAATTATTTTTTAAAACTATAATAGTTGAATACATTATAAAAATTGCATCATATTATAATGAAAAATACATTTATATGATGCATAATATGTCGATGGATAAATTTAAGTACATGTGTAGATGTGTTTTTTAAATATAAACTAATATATATTGATAGATAGTTTATAAAGGTATAATATATGTTTGGTTATAACAATGCATAATGGCATAACATGTAAATATTCTAGCAACAGAAGACTTTTTTTATAAAAATACTGAGAAGCTCTATAGTGATGACACACAGCATAATGGCATCATTGTAGTATTCTACAAATTTAAGATTTCTCTCTAAAAATGCTTCTCTTTTAATATATAGGAGATATGTCCCCGAAATAGCCGTTGACTTTGAAATTTGTAAGTATATATGAGCTTACGACACATTCATATTCATACCCTATTTATCTTAAACAATACAAGTGATTGCAGAAGAAATTTCAATTTTGCTATTGAATGTAACCGTTATTTGTTTCAAATTCATAGGAATCCCAAAAATGTAGAAAGATGAATAATTCTCTCTTTGACTTATATTATCCAAAATATTTAAAAGCTAATTGCTACTACTATAGTCTATATCTATAACAATAAAACATTGTGCGGAATAGAACTTGTTGGACCACGCAACGCTTGTTTCGTGTTAAGAGGTAGGTTCACACACAATTCATTCCACCGCAACCGTCAACACTATCTGCGGTTGAGGCGGCAGAGGCCGCAACCGCAGCTGCAATGATCATAAGTGACCATATTTTACATAGGTGTTTGAACAATGAGATTTCCAATGAACAATCACAATCAAATCTCCTTTTCGTTTTTCTGTTCCTTATCTGTTAGGGTTAAAGCCTTTAAGGCATGTATCAGTCACAACTCACAAGAACCCTAAAAATACTCGAGAACCATTATTTTCCCGATTACAAAGATCCAAAAGCAGGCTTAAACCCTTTAAAACCCATTAAACAGATGGAAAGAACAAATGCCGTTATTACGGTTACCCAGAAAGCGTATGATGAAGAAAAAAAGCTAAAGCCCAAATTTCGAGTACTTGTTCAAAAGAAATGGGTACCGATTTAAGAATTCGATCTTAACACTCAAACGCGGCGATGAAGCTTTTTAAGAAAAGGTTGAAACAAGAGTTGTCTATTTGTAGCTCTGTGAGACCTCCATGACGAGCTTGTCCATGAATTGGTACTTTCTGTGAAATCCCCAACCAGGATTACTCTGCATTGCCCAAGTTTCAGAATAACATCAATACCTCTTTTACAGAGTAATCTGATAATAAAAACAGAGTGTGATGTTAGATGAAAGTATTTTGGGTTTGGTTAAAGAGATCAAACCTTAAGACTAAGAGCAGCACGATCTGCAAATCGTTTCACAGAATCAGGTGCACTTGTGGGAAGTGTTGTAGCAATTCTATCGAGCTCCTCACTCTGTTCTTTAGCAGTTACTCGGTCAGGACCACTGTAGTGATCAACAATCTCTTTGATAAGTGGAGCTTGCGCCATCACTTCATCAATTGCTTCCTGCAATAAGTGAGAAAAAATCAAGTGGTCAAACGGAAAAAAACAATATTGCATGGAGTCATAAAAAAGCAGATCTCAAAGATAGAACATTCTTCTTACATCCCATTCTTCTTGATTCTTGATTCCCTCGTAAGCCACTATGAAAGGCTTCACCTTCTCAAGGCACTCGCGCAGAGACATTGGTGGCTTCTCATCAATGTCAGGGTTCGATCGAAAGTCCGGCATCAAATATTCTGGCTCACACTCGATCTACAAAGCAAAGACAGAGAGGGCCAGAGAAAACTTAGAGACTCAACATCCATTTTCATGCAATGCCAAACAACAAAAATGCACTTTCTCCCATTGTTCTTTCACAATGAAAGAACAAAAACCACAGAGACTGTTACAGATCTTAGAACGATACAGGAATATAAAGCTAACAATCTTCTACACTTCAAAGCCACCACAAGCTATGATCCATACCATATGTTCTCCACACTATAGTGACATGCTTCCGAATTCACTAATCCTAATACTACTTGTAAGTTTAAGTGACAGCATTCTCTGTATCAAGTAGTAAACTTTTTTTCCTAGACAATCATCAGAGAACAATAGAACACAAAAACTTTACTTTACCATGAGATTGGTTTCGTAAGCATCCACAAAGGCATCGTGAGCAGTGGAAGGCAAAGCCCTCTCGCAAATATTCTCATATCCTTCTGCTAACTGCTTCATAACCTCAGGTCCCATTTTCTGAGCAAACTTCTCTCCATCAGCAGAATCACCAATGAATATACTCAAAGCCTCTTTTTCAGCTTCCTCTCCTTTCTTATCATCTCTCCATCCATCACCACCTCTTCCTCTGCCTCTCCCTCTTGCTCCTCTTCCTCTTCCTCTCCCTCCTCCTCTTCCTCTTCCACCGCTTCCTTCAGCTTCGCCACGTGAAAGCGCACTCCTTGCTCTTCTCCCAGCCTCTTCCATACTCAACTGTGGCCTCGGAGTTTCATCCTTGGGCGACTGAGCCCGCCGCTGCCGCTGCGGCGGAGGCTGAGGGCGTTGAATGTGGCGATTTTCTTCCTGTTGCGTTGGAGCGGATTCCACAGAAGGTTTCCCTCGACCAGCTCCACTTCCTGGAACGATTCTTTGATTAGGATGCGAGAATTCGTTCCCTGGAGCATTGAATCTGAGGTTAGGCGGAGCGGTTTGTCCAGGTTTAGACTCTGGTGGTGGCGGCGAGTGCGGTTGCTCTTCCCTGCTCAAATGGGGACGATGAGATTCATCCCTGGGCGGCGGCTGATAACGCGGCTGTGACTGTTGCGGCGGCGGAGGCGACGGATGGCGAGGAGGCTCAGCAGCGAAAGGTGAGACGGGGTCTGATCCGACGGATCCTCTTCCACGGCCAACGCTAGGAGAACCCGGTCTAACAAACGAGGAAAACGCAGGAGAAATCGGATCAGATTGGATCGGACGGCCACGGCCATGAGCATACCCTCCAGGAGATTGCGATTCCGACGAGCCACGACCGCGACCCAAAGGCTCGTTAGCCTTTTCCGGTTCCCGATTGATTCCGAATTGTCCCCTTCCAGCGGCGGGAAATCCTCCATCTCCACCGCCGAATCCGGAACCTCGTCCACGGCCACGGCCAGCACCGTCGGAGGAAGAGGAGAAATGAGATGTTGGTTGGATCAGAAATGGAGTCTGTTTGACTATTGATGAAAGTGTAAAGCCATTAGGGTTCGACAATCGTCTTCCTATAGCACCTCTCATCTGCTGATTTCTTCAAGTAAAACAATGGCGGTCGAGAATTTTCGAGGGTTTTTGAGTTACTGTGTTAATTCCGGAAATGGGGTTTTCATAGCAATTATGATAATTGCAATTCCGTCCCTAAAGTTTTAATACCATACGAAAAAGGATCGATATTTTCAATCTACCTAAGAACCTCCAATAAGTAGAACTACTAACGGCTAGGCCAAAGTTAGTACTAGCAAGCGTCGACATAACAAGAAATCCAAATCTTCTAAAGAGAGGAAAGAAAGAGAGAGATCTTTTCCATTAAGAACCAACAAAAATGATCCAAAAATTTCGTTTGAGAAAGATCATAAAACTCAAATGTCTCAGAACTCAGAACAAGAACTCGAAATTCAAGAAGCATGTTCGTGGTTGCTTTGGCTTTCCAGATACTACAGAACTGGAAATATAACTGCTCTATGGAAATAAAATAAAAAGACAACTGAAAAATAATAGAAAATTACTTAAAGGAAAAACGTAATGCTGCATCACTCTCCTCTCCTTCATCAGCAAGAAGCCAGTGTACTGACTCTGTTTCTCCTAGTTTGTGGATGGTGATCGAGTGATGCGTGACCTCACTGGTGTCTTTGAAGGGCTTACCCTGAAGATATCAAAGATTTCATATAAAGTTTTGATATTCAATGAAAGATTTGTTACAAAAGAGAAGCATATGATACCTTATCGGCTGAGATCCTAAGACTATTCCACTGCAGTTGAGCGCTGCAACTGCACTCTCTGCCTATTTCATCCCGAAACCAAAAACACATTCAGTTGTTCGGTAAAACCAAGAGAACCATAAGCCATTGAAAAGTTTGGCTTATACTTGTAAACACTAATGTAAGAAGAAACAAAAGCTGCGGTTTTTTCAAAGCCTGAGGAGCTTACCATGGCAAATTCAACAAAAGCTATGCGAGTAGAGTGCACTTGGTCACCAAGAAGCCTTATGCGAGTAACCTGTATAAAGGAAAGAAAGTGTTACTGTTGCGTTTACAAATTTCATATTTTCTTTTGAGAGAGAAAGAGAATAAAGTTGTTGACCGGATTCTAGACTGACCTCGCCGCAGGCAGATTGAAAGAAGGTTTTGACATCATCTTCAGTGGCCTGCAAGTTTATAGAAACTATCTTAAAACCGAGAACAAGTACGCAAAAATGCAAAATTGACATAAACATTAACCGAGAGCAAGCGTTTACATTCTTGTCCACGTTTGTGCAGTAGATGGTTCTTGTACACATCTCCCTTTCATCTTCTGACTGAATAAAACACCAAAAGAAACAAGTGGAAACCTTAAAGTTCAGTTTTTTTAAAACTCAAAAATGTAAAACCCAATTTCACAAAAATGGAAAACAGTTCTTGTTTGTTTTTTACCCTGGGGAGAAATGTGGGATTCACTGGAAGGATAGCAGTTTTTGAAGGCAAGACTCTAACTGGGTAATAACCAATCATTCTTCCACCGAGACCTAAAGCCGCACGTGCACCTTCTGTTTTCGAACATAATCTTGCAAATGTAAGCCAAACTTGACATCGAACTTTTTTAAGTAAAGAACGTTTAAGAAGAATCCAAAAGCTTTAACTTACGATCATCAGCAAACTCAACAAACGCAAAGCGAAGAACCGAATTCGGATCTCCACAGATTCGACAATCAACAACCTTCATAAGAAAAAGAAAAAAAAGCAATGTTACCTCACAGAAAACTAAAACTATGTGTTGAAAAGAAGTAACCTTGTGGAACTTACTTGCCCATAGCTGCTGAAAAACCCAGCCAGGACTTCCTCAGTCACCTAAATGAAAGAGAAGAATATATATACAATTACAATGATGGCAAAATCGAATTCCTTTTTCTGAAAACCTGAAGAGAGACTTAAGTGACTTACACTCTGATCAAGGTCAGAGACATAGACTGTTCTTCTAATACTATCTTCTCTCTGAGCCTTGGAAGCTCTTCCAGTTACCCTCATCCTCCTCCCTTGGTTATAGTTGTTTCTTCTCTGTATATACCCACAAAACATAAAACAGACAAGGACAATGTAAAGATTCAATATTGATGAAATGCAAGTAGAGATCATCATACAAAAGTTGCAAAACTAGATAATGTAACTTGTGTGTGAACAGCCAAAAACAAAAAAAACCTATTTGAAATCATCAAATGAACCTCCAAGCTAGAGACTTTCCAGCACACTAAACAAAAATCTAAACTAAGTTCACTTGAATAACATCAATCCCAAAAGCAGCCAATCAAATTCATGTACATGCTCAACAACAACCAAAGATCAAAACTTTTCACCACTGAGAATCCATTGTTGAATCAGAGACAGAAAAAAAACATTGTTACCCTCCGATTAATGCCATCCTTTTTGTTGTCACCGTTAAATTCTTCACCAGATTGCTTCTTAGCGATCGCAAAGTCGTCAGAAGACAGAGACTGATTATTCTTCTTGTAAGAAGGGACAAACTCCTTAGCGTCAGGATTCAGTGTCTTGAACATCGCCACAAGCTTCTTCATTTGATCAAACTCCGGTTCGGGTTTTGATTCGGATTCGGGTTTGGGGTCCGATTCGGGTACCGGTTTAGAATCCGTCAAGCTCTTTTCAGCTCCGCCGGCGATGACGTTGTCATGAACGGTGGAATCAACATCAGTGGGAATCTCAGTGATCGTAGCCATTAGATCAGAAATCCCAAACAAATTAGAAAACCAACAACAACAACAGAAGATCACAATTCACCAAAAAACCGGAAACGGAATTAGAAAAGGTGCAAGCTTTCTTCTTCTCTCTCCCGTCGTATCTCGTAAAAATGCAAATTTTGGAAAATTATCTGAAAAAAGAATCGCTTAAATTTCAGAAAATGAGAGTATTAATGAACGCCCATTTCAGATTTCTAACCCCAAGCAGAGGAGAATGCTTTATTGTAGATATACAATTTCGGAATCTAATGTTCCATAAGAGAAATAAATCTGAAGCGGTCGTTTCAGACGGTGGCGATGAAGAAGAAGTAGACGAAGAAGGAATGATGATGGGTTTTGGTTTTTGGTTTTCGGCTTCTTTTTGGCCTTTTCTTACTCAAATGGACGCAAACTCTCACAAGAATGCTTCTCTTCTTTTCCGGAGAAATAAAATTTTATTTATTTTTAATAATTACGTCAAAAACAAAAGAGAAAGGAGAGAATTTTGTTATTTTTATTATTCGTTTTGTAAGGACCTTAGATAATTACACCTAAGTCCCCCACTATTTTATTGGTTATTCACAAGTGCCCCGATTTTTGCTTTCTTATATTTTTTTAACCCAACGGTATTCTTCTTCAGATTTTTACCCAAAATTAAGAGAAATATCTTTGTGATCTGGTATGGTCTACAGAATTTAATAAGTTTGGAATGAAATATACAGAATTTAAGGTTTCATTTATTATTTTGGTACTTTGAATATCTAGATATAAAAAATATATATACATATATTACCTAATTTAATTTATTATTTTGGTACTTTAAACATGTGGATATAAAATAGTAGTATATTTTTCCTAACGTAATTTATTATTTTGGTCTTTTAAATATTTTTCCTTCCCTTCCATAAACTTCTGTGTTTGTTAGGCTTAATTCTTTGTTATCCTCACCTTCTCCTTAACCTCCCCTCCTTGATACTTTTACTTTGTTACAAAACAAGTATTAACTTTTTATATGAAGAACATTACAAAATACAATAAATTGACAAAATCGAATTAATCACACACCACTTTATTCTTTCTGACATCACATCACAATCACATACTATCACTTTATTACATATTAGTATTACTATTATATCTTTATTTGTGTTTTTTGGATGTATCGTTTTCTCTTTCATACGAACTGCATTGAAATGTGTTACTTTTTATTGTTTTATTGTGGACAATTAACATCAACAAAAAATGACTGTTCTATGACCTTTCATTTTCTCCATAATTGCATAATAAGTCCGTCGTTTCTGCTCCATAAATCTTTGGATTTGTTGGGATATAATTTTATGTTATCGAAATAGTTGGCAAGTTGACTTCACACAGTTTTCTTATTCGTTCGCGGGGAAATGGAGGCATTGTAATTTTTTTTTTATTTTGCAATTACATATACTATATATAACACGTGATCTATATCAAATAAAATAGTTAAACCTTGTTTAAAAAAAATACACGTTAAGTCATCGTTAAACACGTGATGTATATATATCAAATAAAATAGTTATTCATTTCGTTGCATTACCGTCAATAAATTAGTTTAACGGTTAAACCTTGAATAGTCAAAATTAAGTACTAGATCTTAGTTTATCAGGGGGGTAGTCTGAAATTAGCTTCTTCTAAGCATTCTAAAATATCTAAATTTAAAGTTTTCCGTAGTTTTCAAATAATTGAATATTTTGTTGTAAAAGCAAGATTAATCCACAAAGTTTTCACTAAGTATATTTAACTATGCATGAATAAAAGCGTTACCATGACATAATTAATCACAATGTAAAGAGGAGAAAAATCTCCCAACTGAATAATCTAGGCAAAACTTTTAGATATTTTATGATCAATATCTCTCAACAAACTTCATAATACAAGTAAATGTTAATTTGTGGATGAAATATATTCAATCCAAGACATTTTACTTCTAATTCAATTTAGACTACTTGAACTTTATCAGCGCCACTAGAAATATTGATAGATGATATTTCATGAGGTTCTTAAATTAGCATCATTTGAACCAATGCAATTAAATATGATAAATTTTCATTTTTTATATTCGTGATCCCGATGATTTTTTCGTTACTTCTTGTCAACCTATTTAATGAAATGTTTGCTTAGAAGATGGAGAAAAAGTGGAGTACTATTTAAAAGTTTTTTTAAAAAAACGTGGAGTACTATTTAAGATTGAAGAAGAGGAAAGAGGAAACGGAAAAAAGGCAAAAACTCTTTCACTGATTCGAGACCAAAACTAGTTGTTGACTTTAAATGGCGGATCGAAATCGGATCAGAGGCTTTCTCAGATATGAACATGTGACGTATGCTTCCATTCTTCTCTACATCATTCTCTCTAGTGGTCAGATCTTCTTCAATAAGGTTTGAGTTAATTCTCACATTTGAATCATTTCCTAATTGCAAGCTTTATGTTCAAGATTTATATGAGATCTGGACATTCTTTGTTCTCAGTTCGGTTCGGTTTGAGTTTTTATAAAATTTGGGACTTATGTTTACATGAACTTTTTTAAGAAAATGTTTCTCGGTTTGGTTTGGATTCTGCCTAAAAATATAATAAAAATAAAGCTAAATTCATTTTTTTTAAAATCTTAGATTTAAATGTATTAGTGTATTTATCTATTTAGAGTATTGACTTTTAATGAGTTGTTGTGTATAAAATTTAAGTTAATCAGCTCGGTTGCACACAGTTTCAAGTTCGGTTTAGTTTATTTGCAGTATGAACTTTCTACTATTCAAATTATCATAAAATATTGTTTGGTTTCGGATTAATAAATTTGAATTCAATGTAGTTGGTTTTTTTCGGTTCTGCTTAGTGTTTTTGCTCACCTCTATGATCTATTTCTGGCCTTTTGTAATGCAGTGGGTCTTGTCATCGAAGGAAATAAACTTTCCTTTTCCACTTGGATTGACTCTACTCCACATGAGCTTTTCCTCTGTTTTGTGTTTCCTCCTCACTAAGGTTTTTAAGGTATCTCACTGGTTATTATCTTGAGCTTCTCTTTTAATGCTCATAAGTCAAAACGTTTATATTCTAATTTTTAGTCTCCTTAAAAGATCATGAAGGTGGAAGAAGGAATGACATTTGAAATGTAAGAAAATAGAACTAAAGTTCGTAAACATTTTTCTTTTTTCTTTTTGGGCATTGTAAATGCCTCTTAACTGAGAAAGCTTATTCTATATGTACTCAGATATGTTACATCAGTTATTCCAATAGGTGCAATGTTTGCAATGACTCTATGGTTAGGAAACACTGCATATCTCTACATAACTGTTGCATTTTCCCAAATGTTGAAGGCCATCAGTAAGAACTTACCTCTTCTAATCTCATTTTTCACAATTTTGCTTAGAATGTTATGATTTTATCTTATGATAATTGTATTTTGCAGTGCCAGTTGCTGTGTTTGCACTTGGAGTTTCTGTTGGGCTTGAGATAATGAGCTCCAAGATGCTTTTGATAATGTCAGTAATAAGTTTTGGCGTTTTGACCGCGTCTTATGGAGAATTAGATATCAATTGGATTGGAGTTGTTTACCAAATGGGTGGCATTGTTGCAGAAGCCTTGAGGCTAATCTTAATGGAAATTCTAGTTAAGAGGAAAGGCATCAAATTAAATCCAATCTCTCTTATGTACTACATGAGCCCATGCAGGTACGTATTGTGAAAATGAAGAACCCTAATCTCTCTCTCTCTCTACTTTTTTTATTAACCAAGTTTTTAACAAAAATTATGTAAAACCACTAAAAAGATATATATTCTTTGTTTGACCAAAAAAAAACAGATTTCTTTTTTCCAAATTCAAAGTATTTTTATAACAACCCCTCTTTGGTTTAGAGGTTATTGTTAATTAGGGTTTTAGTTTTCTATGAACAGTGACGAGGAGTTTCTAATTCCATAAGAAACAATATAAATGTATGTTTTCATATATATTCCTTTTTTTTTAACCTGTCTGCAATGTGTGTGCGTGTTGCAGTGCGGTTTGCTTGTTCATACCATGGATTTATCTAGAGAAGTCGAAGATGGATGCTAATAATAACACATGGAACTTTCATGTTCTTGTGTTGACTCTTAATTCACTATGTACATTTGCTCTCAATTTATCGGTTTTTCTTGTGATATCTCGCACAAGTGCTCTCACTATCCGAGTCGCTGGCGTGGTCAAAGATTGGATCGTTGTTCTGGTCTCAGCTCTTCTCTTTGCCGAGACAAGACTCACAATCATCAATCTATTTGGTTATGCCATTGGTAATAAAATCATCTTCTTCTCTTTCCACTACAATCAAAATTGTAGGGTTTAATTATAAAAATTGTGATGATTGTGAAACTGTTTCACTCGCAGCCATTTTCGGTGTAGCTGCTTATAACAACCATAAGCCAAAGAACGGAGAAGCCAAAACGTTGCACTCTCAAAATCCTACAACCACCGGCAAATAATCCGGCGACGTATTTTAGACTTTTCTGTTACCGCAAGAGGTAACACACTTTATCTTGTAACTGAAAAAAAAAAGTAGTCCCTTCGTTTTATTACCCAACCCATATTTTTTTCACAGCACGAGAAAATGTTTTAACCTATGCAAGGGCAAGGTTGAGGATTGTAACTAGAACTTCAACTTCTTTACCAAATTTTTTTTTTTTTTTGTACATCTTATTATCTCTATTTTCGTATTTTCCGATCCCTTTAAAGATTAGAGAATGTTTCTTATTTTTTTCTGTGATTTGATGTATATTTAGGGTATTAGAGCAACATTAATGGAGAGCTGAGAGTAAAAGCTTTTAAAATTGTTTATTATTAAAAATTTTGATTTTTGTTGTTTTTAAAACGATTTTCAAAAAAAAAAACATTTTAGCCAATCATATTACGCCATGTCATCTAAGAATCGTTTCTGCAGCCTCTGTGCAGAGAGGCGATTCTGCTGTCATGTCATTTCTTTTTTTTTTTTCTTTTTCTTTTTTGTTTAGAACTTCTAAAAAGCTGTCCATTAGTGTTGCTCTTACGCCTAAGAGAAATTTGTCTGTGTAATTAATTATGTGTGCTATTATATACGTCATCTTTATAATTGAAAATGTGCTAACGTCATGGACTTAAAAAGTTCGATTAATTTCCAACTTACTATTATAGTAGCAAACCAAAAAAATCCATATAAACTGTTCAGAAAATTCAAAATTCATCTTCTCTCGATTTAGTAATGGGCTTACCATAGCTAAAAAGCCCAATAACGGAGAACCAATGAAGTCACGTGGCAGCTAGAGTTCCACGTGTTCTCTTTCTATAACTTTCTCCGTTGGTGGATGTCATAGAAGAACGTTTCAAATTGAAACAAAATTCGGAGAAAGATGGCATCTTCTAGTAGTTTGACCATACAATCAAGCTTCGTCTCAGCAAGAACAAGGCTCGGTTCTATCTCCAAGCCGAATCTCTCTGGATTCGCGTGTCGTTCTCTTTCAAAACCCAGAAACTTGAATCTCTCTGTTCGTTGCTCCATGGGTTCCTCGAATTCTTCTCAGAAATCAGACAACGTCCAAGGTTCTGTTCTTTCGTCTTTCATTGCTTCTTATGTCGACCCGATTCACGTTGTCTAGTGTAGTTAGCGAAAAATGGTTTCTTTTTCGTGGGTTTAGGTTAAACAATATTTAATTGAAAAGAAACGATTTTTTCCCCCACAAATTGATTCGCTCTATTATGTTTGATGATTATGAGTGTTGGTTTCTTTGCCAAGTGTATATATATGTGATGTTCTTTAGTACAATTTAGCAAGCGAGGCTTAAGATTTGAGAGATTGGTATCATTTGCAGAAGCTGAGAAGAGTGACTTTGCTTCTCTAAGTGAAGATGAATGGAAGAAACGGCTTACACCAGAACAGTATTACATCACCAGACAGAAGGGAACAGAGAGAGCTTTCACTGGGTATGTAATGATTAATTGGCTCATCCAAGTTTTTTTCTTCTTATAAAACATTATCACCATGAACTTCTAAAATTTGATGCTCTTTGCTTCGTTCTAATGAGTTTGTTCCTTGTTTCTTGCAGAGAGTATTGGAACACAAAGGCTCCAGGAGTATACAATTGCGTATGTTGTGACACGCCTCTATTTGAGTAAGAGTTTCTATTTGATGCGGAATGTGAAAATTGTAATTCTATATATTTGTAGAGAAGTTTGAAGTAAGGAAGCTAAATTTTGTTGCAGCTCATCAACAAAGTTTGATAGTGGAACTGGGTGGCCATCGTATTACAAACCTATAGGGAACAATGTGAAGACGAAGCTAGACCTCTCTATCATCTTCATGCCTAGACAAGAAGTTGTATGTGCTGTCTGTAACGCTCATCTTGGCCATGTCTTCGATGACGGTCCACGCCCAACCGGAAAACGATATTGTCTCAACAGGTTTGATTACTATTATCCCTAAAACCCAAATTTTCAAAGAATTTTCCAGTACTAACCTATGTTCTCCTTTCATTTGATCAAAGAAAGTTCTTTTGACATTTTGGAAATTCCTGTTTCTGTTTTTGTTTTGTAGTGCTGCTCTGAAACTTGAGAAATTGGAGAGAACAAGAGATTGAGACTTTCTTGTTCAAAGGATTGTTCATATAATCAATAATTTCATTGTAGTAGTTCCTCATATTGAAATGATTGTAAGACAACTGTAATCACATGTAATACACAGAAGAAAAAAGGTATAAACTTTGAGTTGATTCCACGATCGTCTAGACAGCATATTTTTGAATTTATCTACTCCCATCTCTTCCCATGTCTTCACCATTATCCATTTCTCAACTATCATTACATGAGTGTGTGTGTGTGTATATATCTATGGTTGTGGCTAGTGCCCTGTGTCAGGGAGCTTTGTAGAACCAACAATGGGGAAAGAAAATGGGAAAGTTGTGGTTTTGGATTTCTGGGCAAGTCCTTATGCGATGAGGACGAAGATTGCGTTGAGAGAGAAAGGAGTTGAGTTCGAGATCCAAGAGGAGGATCTGTGGAACAAGAGTGAGCTGTTGCTGAAATCAAATCCTGTTCACAAGAAAGTCCCTGTTCTTATCCACGATGATATTCCAATCTCTGAATCGCTCGTTCAGGTTCAGTATATCGACGAGACGTGGACCGATGCTGCCTCTTTCTTGCCCTCTGATCCTCAATCTAGAGCCACTGCAAGGTTCTGGGCTGATTTCGCTGATAAAACGGTAAGCAACCGCAAACATAGTCCAGTTTTTTCAATTCCTCTGTTTTGTGCTGCTTGCTTGTGTTCGTTTGATTGCGTGTCAATCAAGTATATTTGGGTTTCCGGTTTGGTTTGAGTTTTTTGGTGTTGAGAGATGTATACCAAATTAAGACCAATTTTTTCCCGGTTAGTTTAATCAGTCTTCACTATTTAGCCTTTTCGAAAAAAACAGCAAAAACATTAACTAATGAGTAATCAAACTTTTAATTAGCATTATATTTAGGGAGTAAATCTCTTTTTTTTCAACAAGAAAAATATGAAATTTTAACAAGTTTCAGTTTTGAGAAATACATACCGAATTAGAACCAAATTTGTGGTTCTATTCGGTCAGGTTTCCAACCAAACAAGACAGTTCTGATTCGGTTTAATCAGTTTTGCTTTATATGTCCACTTGATTTTGAAACGATGCACCAAAATGCAGATATCGTTTGAAGGAGGAAGAAAGATTTGGGGAAACAAGAAAGGAGAAGAACAAGAGAAAGGCAAGAAAGAGTTTATTGAGAGCTTGAAGGTTCTTGAAGCTGAGCTTGGAGACAAGACTTACTTCGGAGGAGAGACATTTGGTTACGTTGATATAGCTCTTGTCCCATTCTACAGTTGGTTCTACGCACTCGAGAAATGTGGTGACTTCTCCGTCGAGGCTGAGTGTCCAAAGATCGTGGCTTGGGGAAAGAGATGTGTTGGACGCAACAGTGTTGCTGCTTCGTTGCCTGAATCTGAGAATGTTTATCGACAAGTCCTCAAGCTCAGACAGATTTTTGGTGTTGAATGAATGCCTTTGGATTTATCTACCATCATCACCATTACTCATTTGCTTCAGTCTTATTCAAAATATTCACTCTATGTCAGCTTCTTGTATGCGTTGCAAGAACAATTTCTACTGAAGTGTGAAGTTGAATTCCGAAATCAATAACAAGAACTGCTGATTTAAATCTGAATTATAGCACATACATAAATTATTAGCCAATATGTCATGGTAATTGCCGTTATTGTTCTAATCTTATGATTCTCTTTATATATGTGGCTTTAATACAGTTTTCCATTTTTCGTATATGAATATGATACTAGAGATAAAGAAATAAGTTTAGAAAATTTTGAGGTAAATGAAAGCAGTTGACAAAAAAAAAAGTAGAGTTTCATATAATAATGTTTCGAAGAATCTTATCATACTTTTTGGTCTGACCGAGTTGGTATCTATCTGGCTAATCGGATACGATATTTCAATATCTCATGATGTGATCCATCAATAGATAGAATAAAACTAACTTGTATATCACTTTGATTAATTTATGTATTTTTTTCAACGAGCTTGTCGTTAATTGAGTTGCGTTCACACTGATACAATAAATCAATAATAGTACTTCATTTCCCATAGATTAAGAAATAACCGTATAATTGTTTCTCTAATTAACATCGAACGAGTTTTATCCAAATAGATGACTGGTAATTTTTTAATATAAAAATTGCAGTATGTATTATTTAATATAAAAAATAATAATAATTTGAATAGTAAAAGTATTTTATGTGAATAAGATAAAAAAATAAAAATAGATTTAAAAGTTAATTATTATTTATACAAATTTTAATAAAAAAAATCAAGTAAAGATTTTTATATCAACTTAAAATACATCAAATTAAAAAGCATGTATATATGATATCAACTTAAAATACTTCAATATTCTCCTTTCAAGTTCATTTAAGAATCTAATTGATTATCTTAACTCGATTTGTGTAATTATGTCCAACCGGTTTATCCCAAAAGTGTCGATAGGGTGCTATGACACAAATCAAGATTCTAGTGACTGGTGTGGTAAAAACAAGTTAAGTAACAGCTTTATGTCACATGTATTAGTGTGCTCTTTGAGAGTTTGACAATATGATGAGTCGCCAAATAATATATTCCCACCTTAAAAGGACAATCTCGAATTCTCTATTCATATTCCATTTTTTCCACAAGAATAACATAAAAATATTACAAAGAATCTTTCAATTTTTGTTGGACGATTGATGACTACTCTTTGTGGAGCAACCTCACGACTATAATGATCCCAATCCTCAGAGAAATACGACATGTCACAGACTATATACGATAAGATGTCTTTGGAGTAGAGAGGTACGACTATTAATTATTCACATTCGGATTTGATAGTATAAAGTCAGCCAATCTTTTTTAAAAAAGTGATTATGTTCTTCAATATACGCTTGTGGTCAAAATTCCATTTGTTTTGCTTGCATGCACCAAAACCATGCATGGGACTGTTCTAAAAAAAATTGCATATGAAATACGAAATTAGATCATCACTACAAATGCCTATAAATAGCTTCATCATGAGTAAAGGCTTTTGACATGACAAGATCACAGGATAAAGAGGAGAGGTAGAGAAAAATAATGATGATGATGAGAGTTTCTCTCTGTATCAGAGGGTCTTGCATGGAAGAATAGAGAATGAGATTGAGCCAAGGATGACTTGCCGAACTAACCAATGAATCTTAACTGATTTAGGTGTCCGGCAAGTTGAACTTGGCTCTGTTTCCTTCTCTTCTTTTCGATGTCAGACCCTAAGATTTACATATCATCATCATTAGCAACATCATCATGATCAGAGCTTGAAATTTCACTGAAATTAATATGTTTTTTCTAGCCAAGTAGTTGATTTAACTGAGTTTCTCTAAGTAGCTATGATCATAAACCATTATAGAGTTTGCCTATCGGATGGTTTTCTCCCGGTTAAAAGTTCGAGATCACAACTCCAAACACTGTAAACGTTGCTCTTCAAAGAATATTGGCCTGACATTAATACCTCAGGTGCGCTATACCCTTCGTCGGTTTGGTTTAGATCTTTTCTATGTCAGACTCCAGATATGTTCATATATATAGTATCACCAGCATCATCATCGTTATTGGATTGTGTAATTTCATTGAAATGAGCTCTTTTCTGTTCAAGTACTAATACTGTTTGCTCCGGTTATTTTTCTTTTCAGTTCTCGGGTACTGTTGGTTTTTTACAAAACTGAAACAAAACAAACTAAACAAATGTAACTAATTGTGGTGGTTTCTCTTACTGTCACTCGACACTCTCTTTGATCTCCTCGTATAGACAATTCAGTAAATCTGTATGGCTCTGAAACCGCCTTTCCCGCTTTCAGAAGCTAGTTTATATGGTAAAGAACACAGTGGAACAAAGAGGCAGCAAGAAAGCTAAAGAATGAATGTATATATTATACAGTATGTTGCTTGTTGAAATCCATGTGTGAATGAAGGATGTGTAATTTTCAATCAGTAGATAATAGCCAATAATGGATTCCACCAACTTGTTAGCATAACATTTCATATTCACCAAAAAGGGAAAGAGATACACAGTCACACTTGATCGTGATCAAATCAAAACCAAGCAAAACACAGGTCAGTATATATTACAAACAATGGCAAAAAGTCTTGTCCCGTCTTAACAGATTTTGAACCATCTTCAAGCTCCTCAGCGAGCTTCAAACAACTGCAAAGAGAAAGAACCAACCATATTCTTAGCTGGAAACAAATTCACAACATATAGATTCTGAAAAAAAAAGAAAACCAACAGATTAACAATTGTGAGATACATTCAAAATCATCCCATCAGTAACAAAACCAGAGAGCGTTCCAAGAAAAAGCTAAAAACACCACTCACCTCTACGGCTACTATACTACCCACACTCTCTGCATTGGATCACTTCAAAGTGTTTTCTTGTCCACAATCTTGAAAACCAAAAAAAAATATTCAGACAAACAAGTGAAGCAAACTACAGAAAAAAGAGCAAACTTTACATACAAAATATCAGAAATCCTCCTCTGGATTCTCTTCTTTTTTGGGGGTTGAATTTTATAATGTCTGAGGCTGCTTGGGAGAAGCTTGATTTGAGAAAGCTCCTCCTCAAAAGGCCTCATAGATCAAAGCAGTACAGAAAAGTACTGATGATCAGATTGATTTATGCCTCATAACTAAGCCAATTATGAAATTTCCCTAAAAAAGATTAGGGTTCATAAGGCTACTCAAAAAGGCATATCTTTTAAAAATCTATTCTCCTCCTAGAAAAAACAGAAAATTTAGCATTTGAAATCGCAAATCTACGTTTTTTAAAAAATAAATAAAAACTGAGCAGACTACTTCAGTTTCAAAAAAATTACTCAATTACGATGAAATTTTCGAGAGAAAGAATATAATCGGATCCATCAACTCGAATCTGCAATTCCAACAAAGAAACAGAGCACAGAAATTGAATTGAGTCAGGGTTTGAAATTCGACCGAACAAGATTTCAAAAATACAATCTTTTGCGCGCCTAAATTTAGATAAGTTTTCCTCACAGTGATTGATTTCATACTCACCCACAAATCTAGGGTTTATGCGGAATTGGAGTTGTTTACTTGCTTATGCGGTGATTTCAGAAACGAGGGAGGAGACGAGAAAGGGGAGTGAGAGAGCTCAGAGATAAAAATGTCTGGTTTGAACATTATCCCATACGTATGGGCTTGTTAATTAAAATCAGTTAAATTATGGGCTTACCATAAAGGCCCATATAAATTAGGCCTCAAAATTGACTTAGTTGACTCAGTCAACGTGATATCACTCACTGTGAAAGGCATTTCGGGTCAAGTCAACGTCAACTATTTCATTGTAGGGGGTTGTATTATAAACGTATAGAAATGCCTTTATACAAACTGAATTTTATTTACTTACAAATATCTATAAAATATTAGACTAGCAAAAAATAAATTTCATATTTTCATAAACCAATATTAAGATTTAATTATTATTTTTTTGATAATATCCAAGAGTTGAAGAAATTAACCAATAAATATCCACAAAAATAGTAACTTCAAAATCCAAATCACAATTACACATGATAAATAGTAACTTTAAAATCTCAAATATGTGATTAGTTCTGTTTGGAAGAAGTAAAACACTTAGATAAGTTTCACATCTGCTACATATATAGTTTGGAAATGCATGTGTGAAGTCTAAATCGTTAAAACTCTCCAAATACTGGAACTTCAATTCTTACTCTTGTGATAATGTTCCTCTAAAGATTGTAGAAGAAGAAGAAGAAAATATTTCGTGTATGCATTGGACACAACACAATTTGGCCACTGCCATTCATTACAGCAATGTGTACATGTACATCACTATTGAATCCAGAAATGCATAAGGGTATTTGGTAAATATGCGTATGCTTTGACCATTTATGTTCTCGCCATCCTCTAGAACCCACAATTCAAACTCAAAAAGATTATAATTAGTTATATCAAAATCACAAGCACCTAGTTTCCCCTTGTAGTTTATCAAGATCCAAGGTTTATGGAACTTTGTTGCCAAGTCTTGATCAACGTTAATAAAACTGAACCCCTCAGACGGTCTGAGTCAGACCTAATACTAAAGCAAACCATCATATACTGTTTCTCGTGTCGTTACTGATGATCATTGCTTGGATAAAACAAAACACCATCGATGCATGTATAAATAAGATAATATGTGTGTGCAACATTGGGTGTTCCTCCATAACAGGTGTCTATTCTCCGGCCCCTAATGTCAGAACATGATACTTACAGTACAAGTTATCTGAATATGATCCTTGACTCAACCACGTGATACGCGCAATACTTACACTTTTTTGTTTTATATCCCTTGCATACTACGCTCCAGAAGTTGGACTTTGTTAGGGCTCAATACGAACTCACTGAGTGTAGGCCCCAATGCATATATAAACATTCTCTATTTGCATGAATTTTTTTTTTTATGTTGTTTCGACAACGTTAATTCTTACAAATATTACTGAAATTGTTGGAACAGAATCACAAACATGGTCAAGAATAATCAAACCTTTTAGAGTGCCTAATGGTTGGATACAATGTTACCAGCTGTACCAACTTGCTTACATAGTTATTTTTGTAGCGCAAGGAAACAACGAAAAAAGTTTGGTATGTTTGAATTTTATGATTGAGAATATCCGAATTTCAAATAGGTAAATTGAATTTTATTATTGAGAACACGAGAATAAAATATATATATCTGCACCAAGTGATCATTGCAATCGATTTTGTCTAACTCAGTTATCTGGGACACCATGCAGCACTAATCACTAACAGGTAACAACTGTATATTAATTTCCACAGGATCAATGCCTCCTGAGAATTTGTATTTTTATAATACTTAGAGAACTGTTTTTAATCATATATAGGAGAAAAAATTGTTGTAGTTCAATGTATCTATGTGATACCCATATGATATGTCTCATTTTATAATATTATTAAAAGTTTTTTTTTTGTGGGCCAAATATGATGATTAGGAGCTTCTTGTTATGTTTTGATTACAATGAACGTTGTGACATGTGACCATTTGAAAGTTGTTGAATACTGGAGTATAATTTAATGATTTGGAGTTTGGACTGACCCCCCAAAATGTGGGGTTAAAGCTTAGGAGGTCATCGATTATAATATTTTCAACAGAAAATTGCTAAAGAGTTTATGACAATATGCATTGCATCTAAAAAGAGAATAACTAGGTAAAGTCCGAAAAAAAGTCATACAACATACACATTATATATGTGACATATACTAATTAAGCTTTTTTTAAAACGGATATTTAAATTAAAAATAGTAGAAAATATAACAAACCGAATAGTTTTATAAAAACAACGTTCACATATTTTTTCATGTGTAACCAAATTTATTCAGTCTATGCAATTTTCTTTTTCAAAAAAATAATCAATATAAAAAGCTTTAACATCATATAATTTATCTGCTATTTGTGAAGATGGCTAATTTTGTGAGCAACATGTGAAACATTCAAAAAATCATTTTATTTCCGATAGATTTCGAACTTTGAGGAAAAGAACATCATGATTTATAAATATTTCTACAATTAGGAACCCCCCATAATATTTTTGAAGATTTTTTAAGTTGTGCTATTTTTGTTAAATCCATTAAAATGTGGGATTTTTTTTAGAGTGCGTATAATACTAATTCACTGCGAATCAAAATTATTTTATTAGTCGATTTAGATATTCATTTTAACTTTTCTTGGTCAGATCAAAAGGTTTTTTATTGAGGGCAGAAAAGTTTAAAACTGTTGATTAAATGATAGGAAGACATTAATACCTTGACGTATGATGCATGTGTATTGAACCAATTAGCTATTGCCGAAAAAAACTTTGACAATTTGTCTTTATAGAATATGAATGGTCTTAAAAAATACTTAAATGATCACAAAGTTCGAGGAGTCATATTACAGAACCAAACATTTAACCTATAGATCTCGTAGTTTGACTCCTTACGTGATACTACTATATATTCGTTGTGTGTATGTAAGAAGGTCATAGACTAAAATGGGAAAACATTCATATGGTGGAATGGAGATCCATGAATCCAGAATATTATGACAGTGTCGCAATAAGCAAAAAGTACTTGTTGTCGGAGAAGGAGACTATTCATTCTCTTTGTCTCTAGCGAAAGCCTTTGGTTCTGCGGTCAACATCACTGCGATATCTCTTGGTATTCGAGGTAGTCCTAAATCTTGAATCATCAATCATTTTTATATGTTTTGTTATTGGTATAATCTTAATCACCAACAATAGCTTATAGAGTTTCACGATTAATGTTATGTCATAATTTTGAATGTGGTAGAACACAAGTACAACACTGGAGAAGCCAACGTGAAAGAGTTGAAGAGACTTGGGTGCACCGTAGTTCACGGTGTTAACATACATTCTATGATCTCAGACAATCGCTTAACTCGATACGATAGAATCGTCTTCAATTATCCTCATGCAGGGTCAGGTTTTGTTATATTTTATTTAATAGATTTAGATGACCGCAGATATATAATTGGTAAAACCGAATCTGTAAATTTTATTTTGTTTTGTTTACTTTTTGGTGTATGTTCAACATTTGCATGTACCGTATACAGAAAACGCCAAGGGATAGTTGGAGAATTTATGGAGAGTGCAAGGGAGATGGTGAATGGCGAAAATGGAGAGATTCATGTCACTCATAAGACAATATATCCATTTAACGAGTTGGATATAAAGACTATAGCTGAAGAAAAGGGTTTGCGTTTAATCAAACAGATGCAATTTAACAAATGGATATTTTCGGGCTACTCCAACAAGTTAGAGACTGGAAGTAACTGTGACTCTAGCTTTAGCTTTCGTATCAGATCAGTTGTTACTTTCATGTTTAAGAAATAAAATGTTTTTTTTAGGGGGTAAGCAATTACTCATATAATATGAATAGTTCATATTAAAAATAATAATCTTCTTATATTGAAATATATATTGTACGTTGCATGATTTTATACTTGGTTCTTAATTATAGTAGTCATACCTACTTTTTTTAGAGGTATATACATATAGATGCGAAATATTTCTCTTTCTGTTAGAAGTAGTTGCGACAAAATGCAACTACACATCACATGAAAGGTCATATTCATTCAATCTTCAAATAATTATTTCTCCAAATGAACCCAGGTTGGATTCTGTGTCTCCTGTTGATTATAATAATATTAATTTGTAATTACTATAATTATAAATATTTAACAATTTTTTTTGTTTTGAGAATTTGTTTACTTTAGCATACCATTTCAAAATAATAAAAAATGCCGTAGATACTGTAGTTACAAATTTTTGCATTTTTTAGTGTTTACAACTAGCAACTAGCAAGAGTTGGACTAATAAAATCGTGTTGTCGTATATTTGCAAGTAAATAGTTTATCATATATCCCATGTAATTAGTTAATATAATCCCATTAACGAACAATTGATGATTAAGTAAATGCAGTTGTAAATGTCATTATGGTGTTCAATCATCGGTTAACACAATATTTTTGGAAGATCCTCGTGTTTTCCTCAAGATCTCTTGGCTTCAAATTTATTTTATCAAACGATATTTAGCAACTTGCATATGTATATTCCCCACCTTGACTATAATTTAATTTATATATCTATGAATATTGCCTAACATGTATATCCAAAACAAAACAACCACATGTCTTTGTTTAGGACCAAAGAACCGTTGTTCTTTCATCAGGTGGCCTTTATCGTTATTCTTAATGTATTAGAACAAAACTAAATGACTGAGGTAAAAATTTTGCTAACAAAAATTAATATAATGTTGTTGTTACTTTTATTTGACTTTCATGATAGGTACATATACGGCAAAATTAAATAAAATAGGTCAGATTTGGGTTCAATTAACTTAAAAAACGTTTGTTGCAAACCGAATCGAACCACCAAATTAATTCGTTTTGATTGATTGAATTTGATGATAAATTGAGATTATTCATGCGTTACAAAGTCAACTTTATTTCAGAACGATTGATATAGTATTAATCAACCAACAAATTGGCGGCCCAACGATAAAATATATAAATTTGTATTAGCATCTTCTGAAGCAAATTACTATTTGAAGAACAACACAAATCGGAGTCTAACCAATTACTTACATCGTCTTATCATTACTTTTAGAATTACTTTGCTGTTTTTGGGTCACAGTTTCGTTTTATTAAGTATGACCAAACGAAAACAACTAAAACTAAGCCAACATAAAATGATAAAATTACATTGCGCATTTTCTCATGACATCTAATATTCTATTAGAAATACGAATAATTAAGACTCGGCTCTGTATACTTTGATTATCCTAAAAAAAAATTAAACCGACAAAACATTTTGATATAATCATATAAGTTTCATATTTCATGTAACAAGATCACGAGCAGGCCATAATTAAACTAATGTCATAATTTTATGTCGTGGCAACTAATTTAAAATAATGGGTTCTTTTTTTATATATAAAAAAACTTAAAATAGTGATCTAGTTAGGAAGTTAATGGGTGTCATTATTGAAGAATAATGAACTCTCTAATAATCTACTACATTAATACATGGGATTTGATTTTTAATTAAGCCAGGGTCCAGAGGGCATATGTAAAGCGACAAAGGTGGGTCCTATGCTAGCCACGTGGCAGACAAATAAGACTTTGATCTAAAGTCGGCCCCGTTAAGGTAAAAGGCCTTAGTATTGGCCCATCACATGGATCCAGTATCCCATATTCTTTTTAACATGCGAATTACTCTTTTGACTTTTGACCAAGAAAATAAACGATATTTCGGTTCCAATGATAAATATATAAATTTATATCATGAGGCTAAATTTTTGTTTTGGGCGGTCGCTTATCTTTTAAATTTTATATACTCCATTAGCTAGCTGTTGTTTGTACTTTTTAAGTTTGAAAATATACAGTATCTATACTTGTAAAAACTGTAGTACTTCTCCTCTTTATTATAAGATGGATCCGGTCAAACAAAGTTATGAATCATTAATGCACTTCAATTTATTGTCACTGCCAAAAGGTTGAAAGCATAAACAAATTTCAAACATTTAGGGTAAAATTTCTGTAAATTAATAATATTAGAACTTAAAAAAAAAGAGGACTTGAAATGTTTAAACATGCACATGAAATTGTTTTTTTTATTATTTAACTTTATAGAATTTTCTTTCAAATGATATTTTATTAAAAAGTTAAATATTTATTTATGAAAATGACAAATCGAAGTTTAAAATTACAATTAACAATCTCAGCTACCATTCGATTTTATCCATATACATACTTATTAGTTCAAAGTTTATAAAAAAACATTTGTGGATTTGTTTATGCTTTCAAAACAGAATAGTTTGAGAGTTTAAATTTATTTTCTGATTTTTCCTTTCATAGTTTGATTTCACAAATTAATTATTTAATACATAATGCTTATCTTTATCCTTCTGATTTCTCGTATGTAGGCATTATTATATATCTGATTTGAATTTTTAAATCCTTATAATTAATTTCTGTTGTTGAAAAAATAAATTATATGTTTATGGAAAAAAAAAACCATGTGCTTACACACCCAAAACAATTATAATTCCAGTCATTAATTAGAGAAGTGACCTATTGGGAGGTCAAACCACCATCTCATCTTTGTCATTTCACACAAGTCAACCCTAATTTACTCAAAACCAACATTTTAAAATTTGAAAAATCAACTAATTAGTTATTAGTTACATCATCTTCCCTTTATATATATAACTCATCATCACATTTCAACAAAAACCTCCAGAAAAACTCCCATCGGAAAAAATGGAAGACGACAATTATTTCCCTGACACCGATCTCGATCTCAGCTTCACCTCCACCGCCACAGACCGTACATTCGCTTCGTCGAGCGCTCGATCGAGTCTCGCTCGCTCTAGCCTCACCTTAAGCTTCAACGACAGACTCTCCACCGCCACAACCCCTTCCACCACCACTTCCTCCGCCGCAACCACACTCCATCACCGTCGCTACGATCCTCACTGGACAGCAATCAGAGCCGCGACAACTCTCTCCTCGGACGGACGACTCCATCTCCGCCACTTGAAACTCGTCCGCCATCTCGGAACAGGAAATCTCGGCCGAGTTTTCCTCTGTCACCTCCGTGACTGCCCAAATCCCACCGGATTCGCGCTTAAAGTAATCGATCGCGATGCACTCACGGCGAAGAAGCTTTCACACGTGGAAACGGAGGCGGAGATCCTCTCCCTGCTAGACCACCCGTTCTTACCTACACTCTACGCACGGATCGACGCTTCTCACTATATTTGCCTCCTCATCGATTACTGCCCAAACGGCGATTTGCATTCCTTGCTCCGTAAGCAACCTGGTAACCGGTTACCGATTTCTCCGGTCAGATTCTTCGCCGCCGAAGTCCTCGTCGCCTTAGAGTACCTCCACGCTCTCGGAATCGTTTACCGAGATCTCAAACCGGAAAACATCTTGATCCGCGAAGACGGACACATCATGCTCTCGGATTTCGATCTCTGTTTCAAAGCCGATGTGGTTCCCACTTTCCGATCTCGAAGGTTCCGGAGAGTTTCGTCTCCTCCGTCTTCTCCGTCGTCGAGTCGGAGGAGGTTGAGGAGTCGCCGTGGCGGTTGCTTCTCCACGGAGGTAGAGACAGAGTACGAGAGAGAAGAGATCGTTGCGGAATTCGCGGCGGAGCCGGTGACGGCGTTTTCTCGGTCGTGTGTGGGAACTCACGAGTATCTAGCGCCGGAGCTCGTCGCCGGAAACGGTCACGGAAGCGGAGTAGACTGGTGGGCGTTTGGGATATTTCTCTACGAGATGTTACACGGAACGACGCCGTTTAAAGGCGGGACCAAGGAACAAACCCTGCGCAATATAGTATCGAATGACGACGTGGCATTTCCGTTAGCGTTAGAAGAAGACGGTTTAGCAGAAGCGAAGGATTTGATCGAAAAGCTGTTAGAGAAGGATCCAAGAAAAAGGCTAGGATGCGCCAGGGGTGCGCAGGATATCAAAAGGCATCCGTTTTTCGAAGAGATCAAGTGGCCGCTGATCAGAAACTATAAGCCGCCGGAGATTCGAGGTGTGGTGAAGAAGACGAAGGCACATGGTGGTCACGTGACTGCTGTATCGTCGCCACGTAGAAGGAAGTGGTTGTGGTGGGCCCTAACGAATTTACTGCGAAGTAAAAGCTTGAAAGGGAGTAACAGTAAAACTCAGAGCAATAGTAATTACTATCATTATGTGGGTAAAAGCTATAATGCGAATTGCAAACACGTTTAAGGCGTTTCACCTTTTTAAAAATCTCGTATTATCCTAAGAGGTAGAAGAAATATGGGATGGGGGTATACAAATTAGTTACAATGATTGTTTATGAAAATCATACAAGAAATTATTATAAATCATTTGTCTTTTTGTTTTTTAATCTATAAAGCTCGTTACCGATGTCAATTTTATGATACTTTACAAAGTTTTATTTTTCGTTGTATAATTATTTGTTTTCCGAAGAAATTTCAATTATTGGTGATTTGTAAAAAAAATACAACGCTAAAATTTTTGGGTTAATGATTCTTAAATGTGTCGCTGAAGCATCAACTATTTGAAAAAACCATAGTATATGAGAACTAAAATCTGTTACTATCACCAAAAGTTGTCGTTGAATATATTCGGTTGCAGAACTAAAATCGAACGATGATATGGATTTGAGAATGTTTTTTTTTTTTAAAACCCAAAGAACAAAATATGACAGGGCTTTATCAAACAGTGGGCCTTATAATTAGGCTTATTCGTGAATTACATTTGATTGGAAAGGATAGACCCTAATAATATCTATTTCAAGAATCCAATAATATTAGGGCTGGTCTTAGACCCAAAGGCAGAGTAGTTTTTATACTTTTATCAGCCATTATATTTTAATTATTTTAATACACACACGACCTATCAGTATCATGAAGAGAAACTTAAGTGACAAGCAAGCCATTAACGATTTTTGTATCAGTTTGTTTTTCTTGTTTAATCATTAGAAGTTTAGGAAATTGAGCTCAAGAAAATCAGAAGCAAAGCAAATAAACATTCAATGCTTTGTCTTCTTTTCTACAATTATCCCCTCTTTTCATGCTTTTTACCTTTCCCGCTTTTCTACTCTTTCCGTCTTTCTTGTACTTCTCTCCCATTTGTGATTTTCTTTATGGAGTTACATTTATCAAAATACCCAATGCTCATAGTTAAAGTGATAATCATATACATGTGAGTGGTAAAATTTCAAAAATAAAAAAAAATTGTTGAATGTGTTTGTTTATGGTTTCTTTTGTTCAATCATAAATCTACTGTTACTGTTGTACTAAAATATATATTAAATCAAATATTATGACTGAATAATTTGAACTATAAACAAAACGAGCACACATGATAAAAGTTATGATAAATTAGTGATATTTGATGATTCCATGAAACTGAACTTCCTTACAGAATCAAAAAATCGATTCATGCAAATCCCAACGTCAATTAATGAACCAAAACTCAGACCACGTTCATCTGTTTCTTCTTTCCTTCATATCCAATTCACCTTTTTCCCCCAAGATTTATGTTCTTCCTCTTCACTCTATATAATACTCTTCAGTCTCCTTTGTATTTCTCCACAACTCTCTCTTCTTTCACCCACAAAAGGGTTTTTTCTTTTCATCATTTAAGGACAAAAATTTCAACCTTTTTCTTTTCTCTCTATTAATTTATATAAGTAACAAAATACCTTATTGTGGTGATAATGGCTGAGTTAAAGAGTAAGTTAAATAAAGGACACGCCTTTACAAGCAAATGTGCTTCCTTGGTGAAGGAGCAACGAGCTCGTCTCTACATTCTTCGTCGTTGCGCCACCATGCTTTGTTGCTGGTACATCCACGGCGATGAGTAAAGGACTCTTCTCCTTTAGTTATATATATATATATATCAACTGAGATGCTATATATATATACATATCTATTTACATCTCCATGTCATCGCTAAGCGCGAGTTCTTGAAGCTCTCATTTGGCTGCTTGGCTTCTCCTACAAGAAACTTGATTCTCTCTTTCAGATCCGTTCTGATGCAAAACCCTTTTACAATCCTGTCGTTTTTTTTTAACCTAAAGGATCAACCTTTTAGGTTTTATTTTTTGGTTTGCTTCATGGGTTAATTTGCATCAGATAAGAGAGAGGGAGAGAGCAAGAGATTTTATCCGCCAATCAAGCCGGAGTTTTTTTTTACTGTGTCTGAAACAGAGACACTAGAGATGCTGATTCTGTAAGAAATTGAAGACCTTTCGACGTTTTTGATTGGTTTGGCTTTGATAGGAGAAGACTGTTTTGGTTTCATAAGTGATATTTCTTCTGTAGTATTTTCAGTTTCATGTCTTTCTTTACAAAATCATATTCCTAATAAGAACAATAAGTCTATGGTAATGTTGTACCATATTGACGAAAGTATTCTTCTTTTGCATTTCAAAATTCTAATAATACAACAGCAAGTTTTCACTTTTCCTACAGATCATAGTTTTCATACTCCAAAATACTATGTCAATGAGATTTACCATTTGGTTGATTACTACTTCTCGATCCAATCTTTGAACAGCAACATCATGTAAATGGGAACGTTTAGTGCCGCAATAACTATGACCATCATGATTGTACGTACCACTCTCTGGATCACAAGTTTGGTTCTTGATTTCGATGCTGATCTCATCAAAGAATCAGATCCACCAGTACCTGCATTCGCGTTTGAGTCCATCACAACTTCGATCTGTTCGCTCGCGTTCTTCCTAGCCGCTGCTCTCATCACCGCGCTGCCCCTAAAAAAGAAGAGGAGAATATCAAAACTTGTGCCTATAGTGAAAAGCCAAAGGATGGTTGAGGATTTGCTCACCTTTCTACAGGAGATTTATCGCTTTGACGTTTCACGGGAGTCTGAAGAGCTTTCTTAACGAGATGCATAGATCCTTCTGCGTCCCACATCATTTCATACTCACAGTTCTCATCTTCGTTCTTCTCCTTGGTTACACCGCTTAAAAAGCTTATCTTCATTACATTTGAGATACAGTCTGCAGCGTTGTTTAAGAAGCTTATTCCATGATTTGGCCAGAGAAGGAGAGCAAGAAGGGTCAAGACGAATAGAGAAAGGTACCTGACAAATATAAAAATAGATTCGCAGATTCATAAACATGCATCAAAACAATAATCATTAAGCCAAGAACTCTATGATCAAGAACATACCACATGTAGATGAATAATTGGCTCGGAAGGAAGCATAATTGGGTGTGCAACATATTATCTAGATCAGATGAGTTTTGATGGACGGCGTTGGCAACAGATAATAGCATGAACGACGGATAAAAATTTCCTTGTTGCCAACTTATAGTACCTACAGTATGCTGTAATATGATATAAACCATCAAAGATTGTCCGTAGAGGAAACACAAATATATTGCAGCCATTACTGAGTATTGTTACCTCAGTTACAGATCCTGCTTTCGACTTGTGGGTTATAGTACATTGGTCATGATCATGGCCAGACAGAACGAGTATCTGCAGAGAGAAAAAAGGCGACACCGTTGGCATTAGTGAGAGCTGTCTTTGTAGTGGCAGAGATAGAAGCAGAAACGAACTCTCACATGAACAAAAAGCAGAAAAAAATTATCTTACGGGTTTGATCAACTCTAGTAACTTCTTTGATGATTCGAGAGTGATGTAATTCTGGTACCTAAATTGGAAGAGAAAACACAATAAGGACAACATTTGATTAGTCCCGCTCTGTTAAAATGGCTTTATTGAAAGCTAAGTAACTCAAGTACAATAAGATGGAAAGGTGGAAGTTTACATTACTTCTTGATCTTGAGGATGGCGCCATAACCGCTGTACATGAAAGAGTAGACATTAGACCACAAACAAAGTGTTTAAATGTGAACTTATACTAGAATCCGAGTAGATAAACCACCTGATCAATGACAGAAGAACCACGGTGAGGGCCGCATGTGGTCTGATCAGGCCGATATAATGGGATGTGGGTCAATAAAACTCTAGGATGTGACTTTGCATCTAAACAAGATAAAAAAAGATTTATGTGTAAGTTTCACAAATCAGGAAATGCTAAAGATAGTAAATGCAGAAGAGGATGTAGCTGAATAACACACCGGAGGAGACATTTTGTACAAACTTCCAAACATCTGATGCCAAATCCTTCTGAGGATTCCCTGCAAAAAAAATACATCATCTTCTCGGTTACAGATCCTTGGAGAAACTATAAGCATGTACAAGAATATCTTAATGATCATGCACAGAACAAAGCAGAGTTTGTAACAACAACCATCAATAGCTTGTGCATCAATGCCAATGAACTCGATACTTCCAATCATGAATCTGCGGTTTCTGATCCCAAATACTCTCTCGTATCGATCAATCACCTGTTGTAATGTCAAGTTACATCAATCTACAGGTTGCCGCCAAATGCTATATATTTGAGAGAACAAAAAAAAAGTGAGAAGTGTCTTACATCTCGCTTATGAGACGCAACCCGAGAATAGCCAAGATCATGGTTCCCGGGGATGAAGAATGTAGGGATGTCCCCAACTCTGCCTTGTGAATTCAAACCAAACACATGTTTAAACCGGCTTAGAGATTCCTGCCATCTGATTTAAATGAGAAGATATCTGAATTTAAGCATTGATCAACAATTCTGAGCAGGAAGAAGAACAGTTGAGAAGAGAAGAACAAAGAGGAGAGAGCTTACTCTTCCTCGGGGAGAAATGGCCCGCCATCGAAATAATCACCGAGAAACAAAACAACGTCGGGTTTAAAAGGCAAGACAGACTGAAAGAATGATCGTCGCATGTTGATATCAGTGTAGAACTGAGCAACTTCCAAAGCAAGCGTCTTTGAAGACAAACGAAACGATGTCTTATCCATGAGCTGCATATAATAGTGACCAACACACAACCAGATGATCAAACTCCACAATCTACATTAACACACAACAAATCCAAAAAAGCATTTGAAGAGCTCGTCACCTGTGGATCAGTAACAATGGCTACTTTTGTAAACTTCCCATCACTCTCCACTCCATCAGTCTGTGAAAAAAGACAAGTAATTTCTTCTTCAAGAACAGCGATGGATTCAGATTCTTACACAATGGCCTTTTAGTTATGTTGCATCAAAGCTACTTTTGGGTTAGTGAACAATTACAATCCCTAAAATAGCAATGCCGAGAAAAATCGAGTTTTCAATTTCAAATCTTCGTTTTTTACCCATGAAATTTCTCGTCGTTTCACACGGAAACAAACAAATACATAATCGAAATGTCATTGAATCTAAAATTGAGCATCGGTCATTGAATAAGATCGAAAATTTGAGTGGAGAAAGAGAGAGAGAGAGACCTTAAGAAGATGATGGTGAGGCCAGGAACAAGTGAAGAGAGAAGGAAGCCAGAAGGCGAACATCTCGCCGTAGAGGATCGACGCAGCCCAAATGAGAGATAAAGCCACCGTGAGCTTATGGTGGTGTTTCATCTTTCCGAGCACCCGAGTCCCCTCTTCCTCTTCTCGGCCTTGCTTTGCTCGATGCTGATCGCTGCGCTGTTGAGTGTTGACCGAAATCGCGACGCAATGCTAAACTCAAACGTCACGTAGTTTTTGTTTAGCATATTTTTCATGTAGAAAAACAGCACACATGTTTTGTATTTTCGAATCGAACCGGAGTGATTAAACTGAAACCGAAACCTTATTTTGTATGTACCAGTGTTCCAAAATGCGTTCAATACGATGCAACCGTATATACGATCGGATAGGATCCCGACCGTACATATATATAGGCTCTGGCATTCGGATGTTCGGTTTTTCTTAAACATAAATAGTAAAAGATAGAAAGAGAAATGGATTAGTTTGTAAAATTATAGTATTTTTTACTAAATAATTTTTTGAACTGATTCTTTCATTTTTTTTTGTCGAGTGATGATAGACGGAGTCTCCCACATTTTATTTAAAAAAGGAAATTGAATTATATTCGAATTTGTCTTGGTCTTGTAGACCTATTCACATTTCCTAATATAAATGATCTAATGTTGTCGGATTTCAAATCCAACAAATGTAATTTTAGGAGATGTTATTGGTTTTTATATTTTAATGGATTTGAGAATCCAAACCAAATTCAGTATTATTGATTTTTGTATTTTAAAATTTATATTGAAATACAGTGTTATTGGTTCTATGATTTTAAAATCCATAATAAAATACAATGTTATTGGTTCTATCATTTTAGAATCTAAATATTATAAGGATTTGAGTTTTAATTGAATTTGAATAGATTTGGAAGGATTTTCATGACTAAAATACAAAGACCCAAATACAAGGTCTAACCTAGGTATTTGAGTGGATTTGATTTTTTTTCTATTTTGCTGATTTTGAAATCAATAAGTTTATCAAATCCAAAGAAGATTTATAAATCCACCAAAATACAAGAACCAATAACCCCTACTTAAAGTAAAAAAAAAAGCATAGTTGGCTAATCTATCTACAAGATATTAACTTCTGAACACATATGAAAAACTTGTATTATCTAGTTTTTGATAACAAACCATAGCACAAGTGTATTAGGAAAAACATGAGATGAGCATAGCTTATCCCTGTCTTAAGAAACTCACTGATCCACTTCTAATTCCAGGCGACTAAACAAATAACTACGTTCCCACACTATAAAAAGACCATAATAAACTCTCTATAGTTCTGTAACTCTGTTTACGGGCAGAGCATATATTTTGAAACAGGTTATAATGTTTTTACAAAAAAACATATATTTTGGATTCTTGCCGTCAAGAAAACAAATTCCATTTGCTTAGCTCATTATTATATAAGAATCAAGTATTTTTTGGATAAAATCAAAACAAATTTTATATGCTGGACGTATAGATTAAATAATTTCATCTGATATAATTTTGTTAAAAATCTCCATATAAAATAGTTTATATATTTCCTAGGATATGTATCGCAACAAACATTCCAGTCCACAATCACATGTACACAAAATCATAAAATCAAAGCACTAAAACAAACCAAAAATAGTCGCAAAAGATAATAAGAGTCCTAACATGTAGCTCCCCCATCTCAAGTAGGAGAACAGTAGAAGTGCGTAAGGCCGTCAGACTCAAAAACAACTCCTGACCTCGTAGAAATGAGTCGAGGCTCTAACACCAAACGACAACGAGCATCCCGTGTGGTAGGAGTGTACGTTGCCCCACGCCCTACCAAAATTGCAACTCTGGTATCTGGATGGAGAGCACAGTCTCTCTGCTCCAAACGCCACCTGATATCAAAACAGATAAATAAGTTCTAGTTTTGTTGAAATTATAAGAAAAAAAAATATAAAAAAATAAGGAAGTTTAAAAAAAAGAAGAAAAATAGTTACCAGTGGTAACGGATGGAGGCACCAACGACCCGTCCCTGGATAGTCAAGATGGGGCATCCCACAGGTGCAATAAGAACCTGTTAAGCCGATAGTAGATACAAAAGAAAAATCAATAAGATTTAGAAAAAAGTAACATATTTAACAATTAGTAAAATTGAAATCCCTATTTACCGCAAGAGGCCACTTAGCGAGAGAGAAAGGATTGGAACAAACTGAAGGAATCTGGCGCTGAACATCTGAAGGTGGAGCCTGAAATAAAAGAAGAAACCCATTACTCAACAGTATGTCGACAATTCATTACTCTTGTAGCCAAAAAAATCGAACGGCATGAGACTAGAAACATAAAAGAAGAAATCCATTACTAAACAGTAGACCACTGAGAAGCTAAAGAGCTAAAAAAATCTAACGGCATGAGACTAGAAACATAAAGAGCTAAGTACTTTTCTTTCCCCTTTTAATAGATAACTTCAGCGAATCTGATCTCTCGTTTGCAACAATCGCAGAGTCAAACATATAAAATGGCTAAAAACGGCAAAGACAAGTTTTGATATGGAGATATAAAGGTAGACTGCAAGACAACAATGGTAAGACGAGTAGCCCAGTGAGTCGAAAGAAAACTTTTATATCAACAATATACCTCTCCATTTTCAGGGAATGACTGAGAGGGACCAGGTTGCGAAACAGAGGCAGCTGATTCTAAATGACTAGATGATATCCTTGAAAGTGCGTGTTCAATAACAGTGGCTAGCTTATGCATTAGAAGCCTTGCTAAACATGATAAGATGAACTGAAATTTCTCAGATAGGTAAAGTTTGTCATAGTCATCAAACCTTTGAACCGAAGAGTCTTTGTATCGGGAAAGCAATTCAACCATTGCATCAACACTCAACTGACCAGAAAAATATTGATGGAAATAAGCGTTTGCTTCTGCCTCTATGTCATCCCCAGATGCATTGTAAACTGATGAATCTCTAGCCTCGCCATTCTGCAGTTGAGATGAGGCATGAGCTTTTAAAACATGCAATACATGTTCAAACAAATAAGTCACACAAGATCTTACCATTACGAATGGCCACAATCGACAAAATCTCAAAATCTCATTTGCATTGGAAGCTGGTGAATCTTTAGCAGCAATAATAGGCGCTAGAGCAAAGTAAAATTCATCTCTAGGTCGAGCACGATGCAAAATCTGTATGAAGGAATCTAAATGCCTGGAAAGGTCCTCAGACTTTTGGAGAAACAAAAGAACATTCTGAACTTGCTCAGTTGACCCAATCTGGCCAGTATTATTGGTACGCAGTTCCTCAATCTCTGCCAACAACAAGTTTCGACCTGGAAAAGGAAATCCCAAAGAGCCATAATCAGAGAAAGGTGAAACTAACAGATTGTGACAAAGTAATAAACGGGGAGAAACAATCCTTTTACCAATAGTCTTTGAATCAGAACTATCAAAATCGGCAAGGGCCAAAGCAAAGCTGATTTTCTCAAAGCGTGAAAAGCTCAATGCGTTCGTCAAATCATCCACGAAATTTTCAGTGACCTCAACATCTTTGAGTGCGTGTGGAAGCAATGTTCCAAGATTTTCAAGTCGATATTGTATCAACAACACAAGAAAGTATATAAGAACTGCTCTTCTTATTAGATTTAGAAAACTTCACAAAACTAAATCTCTCTCTTGAGTCTTATGGAACATCTCTCCATAACCTCTTATTTATAGACCTAAGCTACTCCTTAGTCTATTAGGAAATACAAATCTCATCTTTTCCTTATTTGATATTTCCTATTCTATATATCTTTAGCTACTCCTAAAGATAACTTCTTCTATAAGTTACTGGAATTATCCAACATTCTCCTCCTTAATTCCAACTTGAATCTTGGGAGAAATGATTTCTTGAACTCCAATTAAGCTTCTCATTTCCTTGAACTTGATCCTTGCCAATGGCTTGGTAAGGATGTCCGCCTTCTGCTCTGTTCCAGGTACATGCTCAACCTCGATTTGCTCATTCTCCACACATTCACGAATGAAGTGATACTTTGAGAGAATGTGCTTGCTTCTGCCGTGAAATACCGGGTTCTTGGTGAGGGCGATGGCTGATTTGTTGTCGATCCGCAAGATGACCTTCTTCTCATCATCCTGTATCTCCTTTAACAACTCTTTAAGCCATATAGCTTGTTTTGCTGCCTCTGTCGCTGCCATAAACTCTGCTTCACAAGATGATAAAGCAACGTTTGGTTGCTTCTGTGATGTCCACGTAATTGGAGATGATCCGAAGTAGAAGACATGACCTGAGGTGCTTTTTCCATCATCTACATCAATGTTATGGCTGCTGTCGCTATAACCAATGATCCGATCTGTTCCATCCTTCTTGAAGAGCAAACCTTGGTTGGTAGATCCTTTTATGTACCTTAAGACGTGTTTTAAAGCTTGTCCGTGCGATTCTCTCGGACTTTGCATATAACGACTAAGAACTCCAACAGCATATGCTAGATTCGGTCTTGTATGAAGCAAGTACCGTAAGCATCCTATAGTTCTTCTATAGGCCGTGGCATCTATCTCAGCTTCGTCTTCTGCCTTAGAAAGCTTTAAACCCGATTCCATAGGTACATGAGTCGGATTACATGACTCCATCTTCGTGTCAGCAAGAATACCTTTAGCGTATCTCTCCTTCTTGATTCTAATTCCATCTTCTCCTTGGATCACTTCAATTCCAAGATAGTATGTCAGCTTCCCAAGATCTGACATATCGAATCTCCTTGACATGTCCCCTTTGAATCGATCAATGACTATCCGTGAAGTTCCTGTTACGAATAAGTCATCAACGTATATAGCTACTATCAAGAAGTCATTCTTTGTCTTCTTGAAGTAAACAGAGGTTTCTTTTAAGCATCTCTTAAAGTTCATCTCTTTTAGGACATGATCAAGCTTCACGTTCCAAGCTCTAGGAGCTTGTCGCAGGCCATATAATGCTTTATGTAACCTGTAGACTCGTTTTTCTTCTCCCTTCTTGACAAAGCCCTCGGGTTGAGTAACATAAACCAGCTCGTTTAGATCACCATTCAGGAATGCAGTCTTGACGTCCAAGTGATGTATTTCCCAGCCATTGGTTGC